TTATCAAATGATGCCTTTCACACATATCCATGATCATTTTGCCTGTTGGGTCGGTACACCCATCTATTTCTTCTATGTGTGCATTCTTATGACCTAGTATAATTATCTCGCACTATCCTCCTAATTTCTCAATGTCCTTTGATATACACTCTACCATTGCCTGGTTTTCCTCTCTGGCCTTTGCTCCCGTCCACAAGTACACCAAACCAAGGAGTGTCATTTGCCCTCCCACTTTCTCTTTGAGCCATAAATGTTCCTTGCCCTCCTGCTTGACCTTTTTCTAGTCTGTACTTTATGAATGAATGCCCCTATACCACCCCCATTTCTACGGCCTTCTGTTCTATTACAGCATTACCATGCGTAGTCCGGATTGTTAGGAGGTATTCCATGACCCTAAGATGTGTTTCTACAAGACCGTATACCATCAGCCTCTCCTCCCTTAGCTTTTCTTCTATCTTTTCCCACTTTAGCCTGTTCCTGCCACCCTTCATGTTAATATACCCTACGCCTGGATCGGCTCGGCCCTCGTGGCTACGTCTATTTCTGCCCCGGACTCAACCTGTCGTAGATATTGGTGCCACTTTGGAATCGTATCTGTCCATACCACCTGTCAAAGAGTCTACCTGGTTGCCCCGCCGCGGTGGTCTAGTGGCTAAGGTACTCGGCTGCTGACCCGCAGGTCGCGGGTTCGATTCCCGGCTGCGGCGGCTGCATTTCCGATGGAGGCGGAAATGTTGTAGGCATGTGTACTCAGATTTGGGTGCACGTTAAAGAACCCCAGGTGGTCAAAATTTCCGGAGCCCTCCACTACGGCGTCTCTCATAATCAAATGATGGTTTTGGGACGTTAAACCCCACAAATCAATCAATCAATCAGAGTATACCTGGTTGTTTTCCTCGTTACTAGCTATCCTGCACCTCGATGGGCCCTTGTGCCCCCCCCCCCCCCCCCCAAAAGCTACTGCACAACCTGCAAGTCGCCAACCCACCTCATGACCTAGCCGCCCATTGAAGTGAATTCTGTCTCGTTGAAAACCACCCCACCTATGCACCTCTCTTTCTATTTCCACCACCTTAAATTCTTGCTCTTGACTCATCCGCCATATCTCTTGGTTTGCGTTGACAACCGCTCTTTGCAGGTTGCCGTCACACACCGGTATGTCCGGTATGTGCATATCACTACCTGTACCTGAGAAGAAGTGGCACGCATGTCATGGACCCCTTTCGCCAGTGTGGTCACTAGTCTTGCCGTACCTTCATGTAAGACATCGTTTAAACCGCCTGAAATTATCACGAGGTTTCGTCCATCAGCTGTAGTTTTTAGTTTTGCGCTCCCTTGCCTCATGACTACTTCCAGCTTGTGTCCTGGGAACGTCCCTACTGCAACCCTCTTGTCACCTCTTACTCTCTCTCTAATTACTTCTGCGCATCGATTTAAATTCGAGTCTCCAGCGATTATCACATGCTGTGACTTTTCAGCTGGAGCGTCCTGCACCTGGGGGTTGCTTGCACCTGTGACGTCGGCTGCTTTGTCCCCTTCCAGCTTCACCACTACTTCGCTGAAGCTGGGTGCACTTGCTTGCTCTTTCTTACAGTAGGGCACCGGCATCCAGAACAGCGGAGAAGAAAGAGCAGTTCTCTCCATCGGCCGCTCCTTTGTTCACCTTTGCTAATGCCTCCTCGGCGGACTTCAGCCTTTCTCCCATAGCCCTCGTTTTTTCTTCCTCTGTCGCCAACACAGTCTCGAGCTTGCTGATTCTCATCAGCAGTTCACTCTGGGCAACCATCATTTTCTCTATTTTTACTCGACCCCACATTGCCTACACTTGGCTTCAGCCTCCTCTCCATTCGCTTCTGCACTTGGGTCCATTTTTAAACCCACCCCGCATTATGAACACTTCAGTCTTTTTAACCATGTCTTTCTGACACCAATTGTCCTTATGAATTGTCTCAGTCGATAATTACAAAACACGAACCTTGCCCTATAAAAAAGAGAGCCTAAGCTCTACTACGAAAATTTGCGTGCTCAATGTACGTGCACCTCCCCCATGGAATGGCAAAAGACAAAAAACACAAAGAAACAAACACAAACTAGCAAATACCTGGTGACTGACCCCCGAAAAGCCGCACAATGTAATAAGAGCTACAAAGATTTTAACTGCGACCGTATTAATTATAAAGGCAAGCTCGAAACATGCAAAACCACTTATCTATGCAGTCGATCGGGAGAGCTCAAAAAAACGTCCTACCAGCAAGCCAGTCTGAACTCAACGATGAAGCTTCGACTGAGGGCAGCGCCGCCAAGCGTTGGAAGCGGTGTGTTTGTTGCAAGCAACGATAGATGGCACGCGCGTCGATTCCGCTAATAAATTTGTTTCATTTTTGCCTGACCGGTGGTTTGAATACACCCACCTGACTGGTCAATTTTCGTCCCGTTTCTGTTGTGCCTACGCTCCCGCACGATGTCATGTGCTTCCATGTGTCATCCATGCTTGTCATGTGCTTACAACGGTAATGAACTGTTGCTTACGATATCTCCTGCAGACTTTCAGTTTGAAATCAAGCGCCATAGTCTATTGTCGAGATGAACGGGCAACTAATTATTTCCCGCTGACCGGGTAAAACAGGCCGGTTGTTCCTCTGGCGGTTACAAGCCAAGCGCTGGGTAGGAAGTTGTTGCCGAGTGGCACATTTATGACAATAGTAAGCTTCTGATAATTTCGTGAAGCATATTTTTTCGTAGACGCTTCGAGATAAAGAAAACAAGCTCATCCTTCTCTTTAATGAAAATTGGCATAACACGGAAGTGATACGCACTTCACGGAAGTAGTTAAGCGTTTATTGTGCATTGATTGGCCGCGAGAACGAAAGAATGCATACTTTAGCAAGGAATCGTAATGTCACTCAAAAAAAAGCAGCTCGAAACGTGCACTGCACATGTAGAAGGAACGCACAGAATGAACATACACAGGATGAGCGTGAAATAACCACTGTCTCAGCTCGACACTTAAGGGGAGATGAGATTCGGGAATAAAGTAGTGTTATTCTGCAGCCTTGGACAAGAAAATTTTTGCTGTATATATAGGCCTTTTTACTGATTTTACTTATGTAATTAGTTTCATAGTAAGTTTTGCAGTTTTAGTTTTATGCCATGTCAATGCGTAACTGAGTTGGTTTTGGACAAACTCTTTACGCCACTTAGCGTTATGGTTCTCAGCCATTAATAGCTCATGTTGCTCGAAATGAACTGTACAATGCAAATAACTATGAAGAGAGTGCGTAGGAGACATTTCAAATGAACAAGAAAAATTGTAATGTGAGGACACCTAGGATCATAAGCCCATACTAATTGTTTATTTTAAATTTGCAATAACTATAGAGGTGATATCAAGTTTTAAAGAAGATAATTGCACCTTTGACAAGTTAAGAACGATGTGGGCAAAATTTTATTCTGTTAGGGCTATCAGAACTACTTGAAACACGATGTCTAAACTCAAAAGGTTGACCATAAATGGATCTTGACAAAAACCCATTTTCAGCCTCTATAAGTTAAAGGTCATCTATGGGTAAAAAATATGTTTTTAAGATTATTTCTTCCATCACCATAGCTTGGCAATCATGGTTATTTTGAGTATGTGGCTTTAGAGAACTCCTCATGCAATGGAAAGTAGCCAGGTTACAATTTCTAGGGGACTTTAGAAAATTAGCTCCTTTTAGTTTTTAGTAGCTACTTTGTGTTCTTTAAAAGTGATTTTAACCTACTTCAAGTTCAATTGAAATGTTGTTTTTTTTGTCGTGAAAGTAGAGAAACTATACTTGTGAAGGCAAATAAAAATTAAAAAGACGTAATTTTGAAAAAAAAAAGTGATGTTTTTCGACTCGCATCTCCCCTCAAATCACGCTGCTGAAACACCATTTGAGGAAGCACGAAATGAATGCAAGTGTGCACAGGAAGAGCACAAACTAACTACTTTCAGTGGTAACTCCTTTGTGCGTGAGCGGCGTGCTCTTCTTGCAAAAGCGGCCGCTGCAGTGAGCAAAGTGACCTTAGTGCTCTCGGTAAATTCAACGGAAGCTTGCGGTGAGAGCACAAGACGCGTAAATCGCCCCGTTCCGAGATAAGGCGCTAGTATCGCAACACGCGGGGCAACAATCTTTAACTTGCACACTTCGAGCCTGTCGAGCCATCAGGCTAGTCATAACGAAGACATGCCGAAGCCTTCGAGCTCAGATCCCTGCCAACGATAAATGGTGGATATAAACAGCTCGCCATTAATACGCCAACCAATGTGCCCTTTGTGGCCTAGTGAATTCGCGTAGCATGCTGCAGGGCGAGAAGTCGTAGGTTCTACTCCAGGCAAATAAACGTTCTCTTCAAATTTTTTCTTGGTATCCGCTAATTTATATTTTACAACATTATATTCGTTGTGGTAACACATCAGTGGAGCCATGGTGGACCCCAAATAAAACACTTTTGTGTTGATATACACAGCTAGCCATCTGGTTACCATTAGTATTCTATCAATTCATAATTATTTTTGGTTTAATGTCACAGAACCACCATACGATTGTGAGAAGCTGTAGTGGAGGGTTTCTGGCAATTTAGACCACCTGGTGTTTCTTTAACGTGCACATAAATCTAAGTACACAGACCTGAAGCATTTTCGTCTTCATCAAAAATGCGGCCGCAATGGCAGGGATTCGATCTCACGGTTTTGGAACGGAAGGGAATAACCTTAAGATCCTTCCGGGTACAAACTGGCATGTAGGAGATTGCTCTTACGTTGGGGCAGATAGGCTCCCTGCCACGGCCTGGTAATGTGCTTATAATTGTGCTTCAAAATCTAGGCTGCTAGAGACTGTAGGTAATCGAAAAACCACGAGGCCCACTTGAAATGACAGCACTGATGCTGCCACCAGTCCACTCTCATCTTCTCCAAGGCAGATGCAGTCATGGTCTCGAGGTACTCCTCAACATAAAGGGCACAGTTCGCAAACTAGTTTGTATGTACAACAAAACTAGTTTATTGGGAAAGGCCCATGCATAACTACATCAGATCTCATCTAAAAAACAAGCACTCCTCCTTTGAGCAGACAGTGATCAGACGAAGTACGCTGCCAGCTGCGCCATCTTGTCCTTGGGCTTGCCCCGACGCCGACCACGGCCCCGGCCCCTACCGCCGCCGGCATTGGCGCCTGCTGCCCGGCGGTAGTTGTTCCTAGGCTTGAGTGCTTGGTGCCTCTCCACGAGGCCGGACAGTGTCACGTCACAAAAGATGCAACCAACCGCTTCAGTCTGTGCACCCGGGAGCTTCGTCTTCTCCTGCAAGTGAGACAAGTGATCAATGTATGAGTAGTGATGATAAACTGCTTTTCCCAGTGCTGGTTCAGGTTAAAGGAGAGTAATATAAGCATCATCAAAATGTAGATAATGTCACAGGGTCGTGACGTTGACAAAAGCTGAGCCGACGTGCCTAAAGTTTAACTTTATTTGGCTGCACTTGTGGCCGGGAATATGAAAACTCAGACTACAGCAAGCAATGCGTGCTGTACACTCATATATGTGAACAGTGAGCCGGCCATCAATAAAACTGATCCGGTGGCAAGGCAAGTCGACATTAATACATGCGGCGTCTAACATTCGAGCATCATCACAAGTGTCCGCGTTTCTTCTAGAATCAACTCAGCTATTTACCCTTGCGTGCTCAAGCCTAAGAAATGAACTCAAGATAATCTTGAATACTTTGAGACATTCTGCAACGATTTGTGCAAGCCATCATCTACACGTGCGATGGGCCGGCAACAAGAATCACAGAAAAAAAGGAGCATGGGTGGCAAAATGAAAAACATTTCTTTCTGAAAGGGGTCAAATGTAAAATGGTTATGTCAAAATTTACCGCCCCAGAACATCTGCGCTTGTTGATAAAAGACAGCTGGCAGGCTTTCTTACAGAACCCTCAAAGACTGCAGAAAAAGAGTGAGCATTTTCAGCTGTATATAGACATCGGTCACACTATAGGCGCCATTACAACGTAATGGTGTACAAATGTCTCAGCTTGCCTAGTTTAACAGCACATTACATTCGACGCAATGACTACGTTTTTGTGCAGTTGCTTTTGGAGACTTGAGCAGGCATTTGAAGACTTGAGCTTTGATTTACATTACATGTTTTAAAAGGGTTCCAAAGCACTTGTACAAGTAATTATTGATTGACCTTGTTATGTAAGTTTATTGGCTCCTGTAGTGGTCACCACAAACGATTTTTCAACCAGACAACTACAAGCGCAATTACAAGAATTTGCCGCCTATTTTAAGCGCTTTTTGTGTTCTTTCGTGAAGTGAGCAAACGACCTGAAGTGAGCAAACGTGCTTCACAACGCTAGCTGATGTAACCTCTTTCCCCTCTGTCATCCCCTTGTGCAGCTTCTAGTGCACCTCTCAGCAGAAAAGAAGAAATAATGCACTTAAACTTTTCAACCAGCTTTCGCAACTCTGCTTATTCCTGACGGATAAAAAATTTGTGCGGCAATCGATTCATGGAACAATAAAATCTGATGACTACACACTTGACTCAATATAACAAACACGGATATAAGGAAATATAGGTTATACCGATGTAAGTGACGAATAGTCTTGCAAAATAGTGTTTGGAATATACCTTTACAACAAATTCTTGGACATAACAAAGTCCTTTATGTATAAAATGCAACTTCATTATTATGAGGCTTGAGTGTACTTAGAAAACTGGTTAGGGATCCTTTTCATACGACGCTAGTTAAGACTCGAGAAAGGATCATTCTTGGTAGCACAGATTTTTGAACTTACAAGCTTGTACTCCACGCTGACCAACTGGCTGCCACATTCATCACACGGCTCGTCTTCCACGCACACTTTCCGGGCATCCTCGCAAAGCTGGACGATCACGTCGCACCTGCGCAGCAAGAAGAGACGAGATTGCGCGCAAGAATCGCGGGTAAACACCAATGTCATTGGCATCTTGATAGTAGTACAATATTCACTGCAGGATGGCCTTTTCTAGTGGCAAACACTAATTACCTTCATGCTGATACACATAGAGAGATGCCAACACTTTGAAATGCAGTTCGCCTCAGTGGAACAGCAGTTACAAAGCTCAGCTGTTGACCCAAAGGTCGCAGCTTCAATCCCGGCCGTGGCGGTCGCAGTTCAATGAAAGCAAAATGGTTTCGGCCCACGTACTGTGCGATGTCAGTGTACGCTAAAGAAGACCAGATGGTCAAAACTTTTGGAGCCTTCCTATACGGCATCTCTCATAATCATTTTGTGGTTTTAAGACGTAAAACCCAATATATTATGATATTACCAATTAAAAATGCATGTCATCTCTTACCTAAGAGGCAGTGCAATGCCTGCCCAAATGCAGTTCAAGTTCGATGACACTGTTTACTTTCATGCATCTTTCAGCACATGAGCACCACCAACGTCCCTGCTCCATACAAAAAGTTTTATGAAAGAACTACAAAGATGCTACAATAAACAATATACAAGATTTTGTAAGTATATTTTCTCGTGCGTCTACTTTGCATCGACTGAGATGAAAGGCTAGAGGCTCGTCTACGTACATTGAAATGAGCGTTAAAGAACCTCGGGTGCTCGAAGTGTCTGGAGTCCTCCACTACTGTTTCTCATAATCGTATCACAATTTTGGGACGTCACACTCTCGACAAGTATTATCATCAACCGAGGTGGTGAAACTTCTGCCGACCCTCTCGCTGAAGCTGAGAGGCAATTTTGAAAGACCGTGAAGAACACAAATGAGGCTCATGCACAGTGGCACACATCTACATCTTAATTGTACTTAGCGCACACAATTAAGGTTCCCTTGCACCTTTACAACTCACGCTTACTTACTGTCACTGATCCTACTGTTCCTTTCATCGCACGCTACTTTTGGTTCTCTAGGACCATAAATGGCCACGGTGCTATTGAATGCTATATAAGAAAGCCATGTAACGATCACTAAAGAACTGACTTGCTTTGTGTCGTCTAACAAGAGCGCACTTTGCAGTGTTAACAGTAAGTGTGCACGCACACACACATGCACACAGACAGACATGCAAAGAAAAGCCACAGAAGCAGCAGCAAGAGACAACCCACCTGTTGCAGCCTATCTTCCACTTGGGAGCCGACGCAGGGTCCAGCACCAACACGCCAGACGTGCATTCGGGACAGACTGAGATGCCGTTAGCCATCATGGAGTGCGGGCAGGTGGGGTGCGTGCAGGAGTTGCAGCCAATCTGGCGGCCAGTGTCTCGGAATGGCGGGTGGTTGTAGCAGTAGGGGCAGAAGATGAAGCTCTGGATAGTGAGAGCAGGGGAAGCCGAGGAAAGCGAGAATGCGTGACCAGTTCTTAACAAGATGTGCTGCCATGATCGTGCAAGTGAGATAGCGTTGAGGAGAGTGCATGATTGCCAGTAATGCGTAACTGTTCGCGTAGCACAAATATTTGATGCAGGACAAGAAAAGAGATGAAGACAAGCGTCAACATTTACTAACATGTTTTTTTGGGCTCTCGAAATGCAAAAAACAAGTGAAATACTATTCAAGAGGCACATACTTGCCGTGTCCAAACAACCTACCGAAACTGTAAGTTGTTTGCACATGACGTGCATGTCTCTTGGATGGTATTGGAAGTCTTTTGTTTGTTTGATTCTTGCAACTCGTGCAAATACTGTATGTTTATGATCTCTGAAGTAAATGTTACCGAAAGTTAGCGCTCGTCTTTGTTCGTCCTTTCGTACCGTGTCAAATATCAGCACTACAAAAACAGTAGAGATAAAATTTTACCCCGTCTGTAAACCTGCAGTGCCCATGGACCAAAACAAAACGATTGTAACCTGAAATGCGCATAGTTTCATTTCTACCACTTTCAGTTCCTGTCATCTCGGCATAATCATCAATCACATCAGAGCCAATGATACATACCTTCAGCAGTCAGATTAGTCAGATGACACGATACAGCTACGTTAAAAATTGCACGTACCAATCTTTATCCTCAAAGTTTCGGTGTTGTGTCTGAATCCACAAGCAGTTTTCATTTTAACCTTGTTATAACATAGTGGCACTGGAAAAAAAATAGTTGCCCTAATCTGATATTACTTTTCGGTTAAGCAAGCACCGCGATGTTTTTGTTTGATTCAATAGTTGTTTGAAGTTAGGAAAAGCATTTATTTCTGCCGGGAACCTCCAAAATAGATAGCGGTTCAAAGTGGGGAAGAAAAACTAATTTTTGCAACAGAACAGTGTTCTGGGCAGTCTGAGGAATAAAAGAGAGGAGTGTGAAAGAAAAGCCACCTTCGCGAGGCAGCACCCACACCACTTAGCTTTAGGATAGGGTACCCCTCTCCCAACCACAAAAGCTGGTGCCTGCCCAGCAACACTTTCAACTGAACTCGATACCTGCCACAGTGGCAGCGGACACTGCATCACTGGACCAACAGCGCATTTGAAAAACAATAAGAAAACGCACTGACAAGCATCGAACTATGCTGAATAATTTGACATCAACAGCTCTTCTGAATTCAGTTAATAGTTCACATTCTGTGGTGCTACTCTGATGTGATGTGATGAGTGAGAATGCCATCACATATGAGCTGCACACTATTGTATTCGCTGACACCCAATCGAATTTCTCGGTTCTCTGCTACGCCACTCACATCCGTTCTTGCAGTAAGAAGCAATTGAGCAACCCACTGAAAAGCCACAATGTGTGGCTGTGAAGCGATCCCTTTTCATGCAACGACATCCCTGATACAATATTAACTGCGGTAACACAACTGAAGGTAGCTTAACAAAAGCTTCTAATATAGTAAATCATTCATAGCACTTGAAATTGACAAAATATTTGCTACCCTTCTGAGGCCCCGAAGTTTATTGACCAGAAAAGTAAAAAATGTCAGTACCCGTCTGAAAGTGCCATTTGTGTGCTATTTCGTAGGAGTTCTTTGCTTTCTCAAACTCATGTTTGCTTTGTCTAACCAAGTGCATCTTCGAACTCCTCATATGATGGTCTTAATGGAAACATGCTTCAACAGCCAGTGCACCGAAGTAAACTCGCCAATGCAGACAGTTAGATATGATTAGAAAACGGTAGCGTGCACCAACAGCAATGAGCGAGTCTCACCGACCTTTCCTTTTGTGCCGCCGTACCACTGCAGCAGCTCGAAGTCATCGAGCGGGCACTTCAGCTCCCGGTACGTTCGCACGCTGCCGTTCTGCGGTATGCTGTGGGTGTCATTGCATTGCACACAATGCAGCCGGCTTGGCTTACTGGCCACCAGCTTAAGGTATCGCCGGCACTTCCCGCATCTATGATGAAACAACACAAATAAAACATTTATTGCGATGGCAATTGTATGGACACTCTTCACTGGATTTTGCTGCTGCGTGAGCGTCACTCATCGTATATGTATACATATCTATATTTATATAATTAAAATGCGAGAAAAAAGGACAAACCCTGAGAAAGATCCCAGCGCGCGGAACCGAAGGCGAAACTTCTCAGTCGTGAATGCGAGGCGTTAAGAAGTGAGCCACCGAAGAGCACGTCCTTCAACGTTCAAATGGCAAGCTATTTATATTTACCGTTTACCGCTGGTGATGGGTATCTCAAAGGGGAACTATCGTGTTTTCAGCATTGTCAGCAAGATGGTGCAATGAACGCGCGGCGGTGCACATTCTCATCTCCCACGCGTACTTTGTCTCTCCGAGTGGAGAAGGTGGACGCTCGCTCATGCGCCCTTATCTCGCGGTAGAGACAATCGTACGTCTTGGCTGGCGTTGGGCTTTCACTAGAACGCTTCTGTTGTAGTTACCGGGAGCACAAAGATCGCTGCAATCGTTGCACAGTCTCCGCTTGCGAAAAGGGCGCACTTTTCAGACAGAGCGAAGTAACAACTGAGATGCTTATTCGTGTTCATCTGTACCTGTGAGTATGTTTCGTGCGTCATTAGTGCCTGAGAAACGCGGGGCATGTTTCGATCTGCTTGCCATTCGGCGCGTGACCTTCCATTTTCTCGATATTGCATTCATTGCTTCGCCTCTGCAGCAAAGCTGTGACTTTTTTTCTATACTTGAAGATGGAAGCTCAAGACGCCTCATCAATGGTGAAAGGTGACCATCAGCGTCGTTGGCGTCAATACCAGTAATGTAAAAAAATCATCGTTCATGCGATTAATGAAACCATCATTGTTACAACGGAGGCAGCCAAAGATAATGATGTTGCCATGATGTTATACGTCACACATGATGTCATCATGTGACATCATTGCCTGGTCAGAGGTAGGCTAACCATAGAGACTGTGAAAAACCACATGAAGTGCGAAAGATGAAAGGTTCCACTGCCTTTGATACCAAAGGCAGTGTAGAAAAAATTTTGGCTCGGAAAGCTTTCAGTGGAAAGGGGGAAGGGAGTCTACACAATCGACTATGACTACCTACTATGCCCGTTTACAAGTCAGGAGTAGTGTGGCTTGTTCGCGTACTTTAAAAGATTTTTCTCCAGCCAATGGGTCGCTGTATCAATGTGAAGTCACGGCTACTTTGTAACACGCTTTTACACAATTTGTGATTCCTCTTGCACGTGCGGTGCAAAAATGGTTGGTCATGATGTCACATGTCACGGCAGCACCGTTGGCTAGAGGGAGGGGGGTCCTTTGGCAGTGAAAAGAAGCACTACTGTTGACTTGAAATTAAATATAAGAAGAAAAAGAAATATTTTTTTGACAGGTTCGACTGTATTGCCACAAGCCTCATCTTGAATATTGTGTTCATGTGCTTCAAGTCGTTAACTCACCCTCATGCTGCCGACTGCTACTATCCTGGTTAGCTCAATTGGTAGACTGACAGAGCTTGGTTTCTGGACCAAGACAAATTTTTTTATTCGAGAAGCTCTCCTTTCTGAGAATCTTCTAGCTGCTTCATACTACAAATGGGTACTTATTATTTATCCCTTTCATAACCCTTTCACCGCCTTGCTAGAATCTGCTGAACGCATTTGCAAGCCTACTACAGGGCATGCTCAGAAAATATGGGTGAACCGTTCTATCAGTTCTATCAAGAAGCAAAAATCTGTAAAACGCTATATCAGTGAATGGAAGTCTGTTAAAGGGGACTGCTGCCTAAACGAAACAACAGCCTTTAATATGATAGGTTTCATGTAGGCTTGTGCAAATAGTGAATTTTAGGTTCCACACGAATCCAAAGCAAATAACGATTTTGGTTGAATAATTTTGAATCGTATTCCAATAGTATATATGATATGTAAAGAAAAATGAGCCTATTTATCATGACCTGACTAACTGCAAAATATGTTTTTCTATGTGAAATAAAGCCTCCACGCAAATGCCTTTTTCTTTTTCAAAGCAAGTCGAAAAAACTTCTGAGTAGTGACAGAATCTGACTTTCAGTACAATGCGAGTGATAACATGTAAAATATGTAGCATTTTAAAAATTTACTTTACTTAGAGCATATAAGCCATCATAACAAGATTTAAACATAAAAAATGATGAATCAATCTAAGCATAATATGTTCATTTAAAGAAGCCCTGCAACACCTTTTCAAGTAGCCATGAAATGGAATAACTAAATAAGTTTATTGCCTCCCAAATGCACTGGTGCAAAAATTTTAGTCCATAGAGTATCAGCGAAGTTTCAAAGATTTGGCACATGCTGCAATCGAATTCTCTCCGCTCTCGTCCTGACAAAAGGGCTGGAAGCTAAGCAGGGAGGGATGGCATGATAAAAGAAAATACGTCACACGCGTCTCGAATACGCGGCTTTTCATTGTGATAGCGCACGTACAAGTGGCGGTCTCCCTCGGCCGCTCCAGTAACGACCAAGCGCGCCATGCTCAAATCAGCCAATGGCTGTGTGAAGTGATTTTTGAGCTTGTAGTGTCATTTGCATTGAGAAGAGAGCAACTTTTAGCTGACTTTGAGAATTAATTGTGAATTACAAGCCACGCGCTGCGCTATGATATTTGGCTTGTGCGTTCTCGGCTCCCTCGACCTTCAATCGGCAGCGCTTTTCGACCATGCTTAAAAAGTGTTGCAGGGCCCCTTTGAATTTCAAGTGAGGCTTCGTGGCAGAGCGAATTTCTCCTGGACAGAAGCTTTGACGGTTTAGCACCTCTACACTACAGTGAAACAACCTTTACAAGTGTCTACATGAGGATTAATACACATATTCATTCATTGCGAATACTTTGAAATTTTCAATAATATAAATTCGAATCAAAGTGAATTCAATTACCCTACTATTCGTTCGAATATTCAAAGCATTCAAATGTTTGCAAGAGCCTAGTTTCGTGCTTGCAATATGAGTCAACTGTGCATGCAAGAGCAAAAGTATAGCCAGTAATCGCTGATGCCTTGACCACACGAGATATAGCACAGCAAGGCTGACCTTGACAAGGGCTTTCCGCTGTCCGAGAGCGGGGTGAAGGTGACTTCGAAGAGCTCGTCCATCTGCATAATGCTGGTGACAAAGTAGCAGAACTTGAGCTGGAACACGGTCAGAGTGTGGCTCAGGATGGCGTCGTAGTCGGCCTTGCCCACGGCAATAAGGTTGAGCTGCTGCTCGACGGCCGCTCGCATGGTCGGCAGGATCAGGTCTTGATCGATCTGGAAAGGATGCGTGTGACGCAAGAGATTAGGGAGCTTTAGATGTTTCAAGCCCAAACATTCCTCTGGCCGAAACTGGTGCATCCCACCCCATGATGATTTACAGCATAAAAAGGGCACGAACAGAAGGTAAATACGAAAACAACAAAGCGCCGAACTTACAAATCAGATTTACTGAAGAAGTGCAATGGGCCATAAAGGAGATGTGATATCACGAAAACTCAAAAAAGGCAAGCAGTTTTGAAAGACGTGACAAGAAAAATATCTGCTTTCCTAAATCATGTGTCGGTCAAGCAAAAATTGCACTTCATAAATGTCAATTACGTCCGAATGGTTCATCTAATCTTTCATCATGCTTATCTTTCACTCGATTGATCTTAAAGAGACACTAAAGGCAACTATTAGGTCGACATTGATTGTTGAAATAACAGTCCACAAAGCCCCATAGCGTTACTTTTGTGCCAAAGAAGGGCCTATTTTGACATAAAATCACGTTTTAGTGGTCCGCATGGGGTTAGTGCGCTTCAAATTACCCGCCTCAAGACGCAAATCATCCAGACCTAACTCACATCACTCTTGCTGTGCACAACGTTGCCCTGCTTTTATTGCGCTAGTAGCAACAAACTGAAAGTAGTGGAAGCTACAGCAGCAACAATGGCCAATGATAAATTTCCCACCATTGGCTGCGAGATTGCAGACGTTCTTTGATTCAACAGCGCCCTGCTAGATGGCACCACCTGTACAGTGTAACTACGCAAAAATTGAATTTTTGAATCACTCGCGCCATTCCGCATAGTAACGTCTGGCGGTTCTCTTTCTTTCCATAAATCAAACAGAAACGAACAGGCAGCATTTTATTGCGTCTCTTGACGCATGGAAGGTTCTTTATTTAGTGCAGCTTGATCGATTACTAGTGATTAATTGTAGGCAGTCCGGCTGATGTCATCAAAATCATTTTGAGAATGTCCTACTGCGGCGCATGTGTTCTTGTGCATTTACCTTGATTTCTCGGTACCGTACTTACTCGATTCTACCGCGCCCTCGATTGTAACGTGCACCGGGTTTCTCTGATGAAAAAAAAAGACATTGATTGTAAATTGCACCCAGTTTCTGGGACGGAAGAGGAAAAAGAAAAAAGTCCGTAGGAGTCAACCTTCGCACATTGAGAACAAGTATTTGGGTTTTGATGCACCGAAGTTTCGAAAGATAAAACATAAGGTCAAACAGCCGGCCCTGCGGCTATAACTGCGACCACTACGGCGGCATTACGAGTCGCGTAATAGGTCAGTTCTCGTCACTGTCGGACAGCTCCTTATCGCTGTCAACGACCCAAAGCATCTCATCCTCGGTACCATCCATGGAATTCGAGATGCCCCATTTCTTGAATGCCTTGATGACCATGGCTGAAGGTATTGCACACCACGTGGCCTTCACCCACGCAGCGAAGTCTTGCAGAGAGGCACGCTTCATCCTGTTGCCTGGCGTGAAATCATGTCGTCCATTGATAAGCCAGTCAGTGTAAAGCACCCGAATCTTGTCCTTCACCGGCTTGTTCAGGCCACGACCTTCTCTGTGGTTCAGGCAGACATCTAGCGGTTGAAGTTGTGACATCAGTGCCGCCAGGTATGACTACAAGGTCCGTATTGCACACAGCGAGCTTGTCCTTGATCCACTTGTCGAGATGGCACCGGAACGTGTAGAGCACGAGCATCGCTCGCAGGCCCAAATCAGCACCAGGCCGCTTCCGCCAGACGTGATGGATCCAATCGGCAACCAGCTCCGTCGTCATCCTAACTTTTCTCGTTGGCCCACACGATCACACCACTCGGGGAAAACGACTCCTTTCGGGAGCGTCTTCCGTTTAAATATCAGGTACGGGGAAGCTTGTGCCTATCTGACTGTGCAACAGAGCATTGCCCTCACTTTAGTTCTTTCGTGGCCCGATGTCAGCACGCTAACTTGCTTCGCCCCCTTCTTCTCGACGGTTGTGGTGCCAGGCATGTCGAAGTAAAGAGGCGTCTGATCGGCATTCCCGATTTGCCCAAGCAGGTAGCCGTTGTTGTGCCGCAAGTTTGCGACGAACCTCTGAAAACTGTGAAGCTTTTCATCGTACTCCTCCGCAAAACTTTTCGCATATGCCCGTTCACCTTCGGAGGGAAAGCCTTTCCTCATCATGAAGTTAGTTAGCTAGCACCTGCTCGCTTTAAACTGGCTCCGGGTTAGACCTTTTTCTAAGGCTAATTGCATAGCCCGCACTTGGAGCAGTTCTGTCGTCACGGGCCGCTGTGTCGCTCCCTGCTCAAGCACATACTCGACGAGCAGCTCTTCAATTTGCGGAAACCGACCCAGCTGTGGTCCACTGAAGCCTTTACGTGGAGCTCTGCTGTCGACAATCTTCTGCTTTTGTTTCCGCCAGTCTCGCACGCACGTTTCAGGAACTCCGACCGAGCGCGATGCGGCTCGATTTCCGTCCATTTCTGCACACGCGATCACTTTTTTTTTAAGAGTGGCATCGTGGTGCACTCGTCGAGTCTTTGGAGTTAGCCCTTCTATGCCGTCGATGTTAATGCACTACAAGATGATGAACTCCTCAGCACACGTACAAAGTGCCATACATGGGAAACAAAATGACAGAAATTGCTGACGCGCTATGCCGACGCACGTAGGGGGCGGCCATTTTTGAAATGCCAATGGCAATAGAATGACCGTATATTTTTTTTTCCGAACTCAATTCTAACGTGCATGCAATTTATGAACTCGCCTAACCGGAAAAAAGGTGTGCGTTAGATTCGTGTAATTACGGTAAGCAGGGCACTGTTGTTGATAATATTGTCGTTTTAGATGTTGTCATACATTGAACTTTCACTCTAACGTAAATTGTTATTTGACTTTAGTATCCCTCTAAATATCACCACTGATGAATATTCTCAAATAAAATATGACCTTTTAAAACTAATTATTTCGTTAAGATATCGCATTACTCATCTTAATCATCCATTGAGACTCTGAAAAAAAAAAATTGTTATTTAGAGTGCCTTTGTTGTTCAAGGGCAACAAATTCGCTTTGCAAGATTCGCTTGCTTTTAGTTTACTGTGAACAAACCTTTTGGTATCCGTGCACAAGAACGATGCCCAGATTGGTGGGAATGAGGCGTCGGCCGGAGCCGACGGTGACGTAGTTCCGCTGGCAGATGTTGTTGATGTGAACTGGAATTGACGCATCCGTTCCGATTCCGTGCTTGTCCATCAGCGAAATGAGTTCCTGATTCCGTCAGGTAATCCGGCGGGTTAGTCTTCTGTTCGGCCAACTTAGTCTGAAAAAAAAAAGAAGAAAACTTGAAGAAGCATTTAGACAATGGTTCTTAAATCTTTCAAGTGTGGCAACCTTTCTTCATGAAATTTTCTAGCCTTCTCTATCTCCAAGTGTTCTCACTCTCTCCAACAACCAAGTGTATCTCAATCCATAGTACATGTGGGACCATTGGATGAAATCCCTACACTCAAAGCTCATTTTAACAAGGTTACAAAAATTTGTTACAAAGGGTATTGCTACCATTGCATCTATTGCAAGGCCATTTCTCACTTACGTTCATTATAACCAGTATTTTGTTATATCCGTGTTCATTATGTGATTGAGTGTATATCTGAACAGGAATATAGGTAAATGAGAGGTTAGCCCATGTTTTGATAGATGGACCTGTCACTGGTAAAGTCACCTTGATATTTTTTGCAGGCTAGTCTTGATACGGTTAGTCACTATTCCTTTCAAAACTCTCTGAGCAACCCTTTCAAAACTAGCACGTCAAGTATGATCAGCACCTCAAGCATGACTTGTGACGAATGCGGCTCCCATGTGTCCAGCACCAACCTGCTTGTCTTAGACCTTTATTCCAGTTCAGAAAACCTGTACAATGCATGTTGTGTTCAGTTCTTGCAGACAACATAACTGCATATTGTTTGTCATGAAGTCCACTCTCTGTAACCCAAATTTGGTAACCCACCCGTTACGTGATACCCCTTAACCAAGGTCTTTAAGGTATTCAAGCGAAGTGAATAATGATCTTTCTAGGAATTGGCTCTTGGGATGGGGCATTAGCGAACAGTCGGCGGTTTCCAAAAATGCACTCATATGCAGCGGCATGTCTTAATTCTGCATCGTACCTGTACGATGGGGACCACGGTGCCGGCCTTCAGCTGTGGCAGGGCCTCCTCGGGAGCAACCGCCTGCCACGACATGAACTTGGTGAAACCGGGGTTGATGACGCTCTTGCCCGTCAGGCTGAAGTGCTCCTCGCCAACCGTGAACGACGCTGTGGTTTGCAGGTACTTCATGTCCTCACTCACCTGGAGTTGAAGCGAAGCGAACGAGAACCGATCAATTGTCAAAGATTGGCAGACGAGAAGTCTGACTGCCATGTGAACATAACCGACTGGATTGAGCGATCATGTTCAATGTCCCAAAGCAACAAACCGACCAGGAGAAAGGCTGTGGTTGGGTGAAGGAAGCGTTCACAATGAATTTTCAATACGTGGTGTTCGTGCAGCGAGATGGACACCTAAATATACACTTACAGTGCGAGACGCAAGGGTTCTTGAAGTACAGCTCCATCAAATTTTGACAAACAAAGCTGTATTCAGCAGGTGAAATGCCCAAGTAAGCTTGAACTATACAAATACGGCACAAGCAGAAGGAATAGACAACAAATCCAAACTGTTACTACAGTTCAATCTGGCTGAACTCAATCCTGCAGTCTCTCGAAGCTTAGCATATAGTGTGACACTGTCATAGGACACAGTTCTGGTCAAGCAACACCATCACGTCATACCAGGGTCTTTGTCATCGCCAAACTCTGGCGGTGACATAATACATCAAGTGGTTTGCTTTCCAACTTCAACTAACATTTCGTGTATATACTAATTCGATTCTACACTCCAAACCTTCTACCACTGTCTGAAAACGTATGTGAAAGATTATCTATGTTAATGACTAGGGTGTGCGAATATTCAAAATTTGAAATATTTTTCTAATAGAGCTTGCTATTCGATTTGACTTGCACTGGAATTTCGCTATTCGAAGTTTCCAGAAACAGAGAGTCAACGTACGATTGGCCGTGGCCATTTCAGATTTCATTACGCATCCCCCTAATCACACTATCGTATTGCGGCAAAGCTGCCTTTCAGGCTCTGCCAGGATCACAAATGTATAGACTCAAGAATACGCTGGTTGCAACACTGTGACATTATGTGTGGCAGGGGTGGGGGCTCAATTAACACAGTTTTGGACCTGAAATTTGGATAGAAAGTTCTAAAAATCAGATGTCAAAGATTTTTAGCATCCCAAATTTCAGATATATTAATGTCTACGAGGCACATTTCGAACTTCAGGCTTCCACAGAAGTTGAAAGAGGCGGAGAGGCTGAGGAAATACAATCTTTGCCTTTCGTGTGTAAAGTATTTTCTGCAGCCCTTTCATTGCACCAAATCATTGACACATACGAAACCCGGTCTCTGCAGTGCCCCATTCTTGATAAATCAACTAAATAGCACCACACCAACTAGCACCTCATCAACCTAGCCAAAGAAACATTTGCTATCTCGTAAAAATATGCTTGGGAATCCTCTAACACTTCTTCTTCTACAATTTTGCTTAAATTATTCGAGAATATTTGAGAAATATTCTATAGATTCCCACTCACACAACAATATTCAAACTCATTTTGCACCCAGAATTTCGCTACTTCGCACAGCTTTAATGACAAAAAAAAGTGTCTTAGCTTGATGCTATGATATCACTTGGTCAAGGAACACCTGACTGTGACATGCTCCAGATGCTTGCTGTGTTTTATTTCATACATTCACGACATGCATTATGATGCCAAACATTCTGAAGTTACATTTCCAAATGCAGAGCTATGTTCATCAATACCATCAGTATTTTATACAACCCAATGACACCAAGCATTCAAGTCATATAACTGAATATGAAGGTAGGCACCTAATTACCTTAAATAGTGCTTCACATTATCAATCAATCAACAATGCAATCAATCAATCACATCTTCATTCCAGTTTGTAAACACAAACTGGGATTGTATTATTCAACAATCCATGTTACCGTAATAACTGGTGTTTCGAGATCTTGATACATTGTATGAATCTGTGTTATTATAGTACTGTTGCTTATTAGGATATATATGCTGTTGTACCAGTTATATCTTTTTGTAAATGCATAGGGCCTTGTACGAAATTTTTATGCGGTACTTGTTTCTGCTTTGTGCGTACTGCTGACATGTAAGGATGGCAAGGCCTGTCAAGTGACGTTAAATTCATTGCTCTTTTTCAAGTTACCCCTGTTTTGTGAGTACAAACTGATGTAAAGACAGGACACTGCACTCAAACCTCACTATAACAAAATAACACTTTACTACAAAAACAACTTTGCTATATCCGGAAATTCATTACAAATATGTATTCTTAACACTATATCTATGGCAAGACTATGGTATATTGCTGATTATAAGTCGACTCCAATATTATAATAAACCCCCCCCCCCCTTGCAACGCCATCTAGGCAAAAAAAAAGAAAAAGTTGACTTCCGAATACAGCTTCGTGCTGCAGGCCATAGCACACCAGTAAGCCTTTCAGAAGAGGGAATGATGCAAAGAAACATGTATTTGGCCGTGCAACATTGCTCACGCCTCGTCATCACTTGAGAGAAAGATGCAGCAGTCACGGTCATTGCCATCGTGTGAGCCACTTGCTGCTGCTCGCCGTCGGAAGGGCGGCTAGGTGGTACTTGGGATGCCGCACATGGTGAAACGCCGTGCGGACCATGTCTGTTGGCAGTCCATACCAAGCATTCACTAACAGGAATGAATGCTTTGCCTTTAGGTGACTCACGTAGCGAAGAAACGCGCTCCTGTTTTTCTTTGTAGGCTTTGGGCAACCTGTGGCATCCAGTTGTGCGTTGTCTTAGGCTCAGGTCGTTCTGTTTCATAAAGTTTGTGAGCCCTTTTTCTGATACTTCAAACTCCATTAGCGAGACGCACATATCCTTCGTGACAGTACACGCTTTTGCTTCAAAATCATTGTAGCAAACACACAGGCTTTTGCTTTTCTGGTCATGAACCCAATTTAGAACTACCTCCTCAAATGCAAAGTATCGTCCAGACTTAAGTGTGTTAAAGGAGCCACGTGTTGCAGTGCGTGCGAAGATCTTGGTCCTTTGTTTTCTCCATTCCCTCACGCACTTCTTTGACACACCAAGCTTCTGCCCTGCTTTAATGTTGCCTTTCGACTCTCCGGAGAGGTTCGCTTGCCGTCTGAAAGCAGCGCTGTACTGTTGCCGGCGTTGCGGGGGCACCTTGGCGTTCATTGAGCAGCTGCGCATATTAGCGCACACCACTGTTCGCAAGCGAGGCGAAATGCAGAAGTGGCGAACAGGCGTGAGCGCAAAAAGAGGGGAAGACACTTGTGGGCGAGTGTGGCTGGTCATGTGGTTGATTTCTCCGCAAACTGTTGCCAGCCCACAAGGCGCTACCAGCTTTTCTGTGGAATGCCCATGGTGCTTTGCGGGAAATTTAACAGCAAGCGCTGTTATGGCACGCTGTCTACTAAAGCGAGGAATGCATGTCACGTCTCAGGAACGATAAACGTCACGTTTCTTGCGAGCGAAAGATGCTTGTCGAGTTTTTCGAGAAAAAAAAAATGCACGTCCAATTGTTAGCAAGCGATAAATGCATGTCGCATTAATTTCCGCTGCCTGTAATTTTTGTAACTTTTGCAAATTTGCAGTTTAGATTTTTTTCTGAGTGAAGGGGCCAGTCAAGCTGTGAAATGCAGCTTTTTTTCCCTTCACACCAAATCACGTATACAGTTTATTTTTCGTGTACTTGTCACGTGGTTGAATAAACTCAAACTCAAACGCACTGTCATACCCATATGCAGCGAGTGCCAACGTTGTTGCCGATCTCACTCAACAGACGCACCGATGTGGTGGCGCCATCATTAAAACCGTAATGCTGCTGGTGGCACGTTAAGCGAAAATGCTGTATCTCCTATATGCCATTGCTGACACCTCCCAATCGTCGCGGCAAATCTTAAAGATGTCTCTGAAAGTGTCGCGCACGCGTTGGGGAACAGCACTTCCCACCACTCTATTGCCTCTGCGGCTAATGTTATCAATGCGTCGAATAGCAGTAAATCTAAGGACGATGACTGTTGGTCGGACTCCTCAGGGAAGTCGACTTTATGATTCCAGGTTGACTTTGTGATTTCGCATATGGGATAACCCCCGAACTTCCGGAAGCCGTTTTATGAACAAAATGTCGACTTGTAATCAGCAATATGCAATATTTTTAATTTCCTTCATTATAACTGATATTACGTTATATCTGGATTTGTTATACCGAGGTTTGAGCGTATTATGTGTCCCCCCATAGGGTTAATCGATTGCGTGAATGAAGACAAAACCACACTGACCGTGGCTACAAAGTGTCTCGCAATGTAGTCGTACAGCTTCCACGCATCCCCGTCCAGTTCGCTTCGTGACGCTTCCCTGGTTGGCGTTATCGGAGGGTGATCGCCCGCGTCATGGCCTTTCCTGCAGCGTACATGTCACAGAAAGAAGATGAATGCATCATCGACAGCATGCATATAAGGTGGGGTGAGACTTTGAATGTGACTTTCGAAATTTTGCTATACAGCAGTGGTAATAAAAGCTATGGATATCAAATTCGCAAGGCATTTGAATGGAATGTGCAGGTTTTATTAGAGCTCAAAGTTAGTTTCGAATTGTGTTAAGTGCCTTTTTTCTTAGTTTTTCTGCATATGCACATTTTTGTAGGAATCTGCCAATTACAGAACACTGCAATTTTAAAAAAATGTAGCTCCCAATGCATTACAGAAGCAGAGCTACAACCGTGAGCATACAACAAAAGAAGATTTGTTATGTTTTCTTATGTTCGTTGATGCATGAAACTTGCCATTTATGAAGAGCTTTTTATACTAAAAAATACAAATACACCTAGGCTTCTGATTCTAGTTCTAGTTATGTAGATACCATGAATCAACACATGTGAAAATTTTTGTTCGTTTCTTCTCTATATACAGTGAACTCCCGTTAAGACGAACTCGTTTAAGACGAATCCTCGCCTATGCCGAAAAACGTGAAAATGTTTGTTTGGTTTTCCATAGACCCAATGCAAAAAAAAAAAAAAAAAAATCACTTAAGACGAACAGCCTTGCACCTGCTCTTCTGTTAAGACAAACACTTTCGCGGAAACCAGGAGACCGAGGCGATTCTACAGAGAAATTATGGCAATTTTGGGGGGCCATTCCCGCGGCCGGAGGGAAAGAAAATACAAAAGCAGCAACGACGCGAAGCAAATTTGCGCCACGGCGGAGGGAGGGAGGCAGCGACAAAAGAATGGCCCGCGGCATCACCCACACTTCGACCCGCAGAGAGGGCGGCAAAGCAAACAAGAAGAAAATGAGAGAGCGAGAGTTTTGAGATCGGCTATTGGCTGCGAAGAAGCAAGCAAGGGAAAAGTAAAAAAAACAAAATGACGACCGAGACTCCCTATTCGCGAAGAGAGGAGCTCTCATGACCAATGCCGTTTCTCAGCGGGAACATGTGAGCTCGCGTCGTACAGCCACAGCTCTCTCCACCTGGATGTTCTCCCTCTCCGACCTCGCCGTCGCTGCCGCCGTCATCGCCGAGGAAACGAGTTCTTTCTCTGCGCCGAGCCTGCGATCGCACGTTTTCTATTCCATGCGCTTTGTTTGCTTCGCTTGCGTGGTTGAAAATGGCCAGCAAGCCAACTGTACAAAGAAAGCCAATCGAGCTTTCAATCGAGCTAGTGGCAAATGATGCTGCAGATCTCTACATTAGTTCGTTAAGAAACTATTTTGAGCAGCATGAAGGAACTGAAGTGATTTTGAGATCGCTAGGAGATATGGCGTCATTTGTGGCTGCTCGCCGATGTGCACAACAGCTACAGACGTCCATTATGGACTGGATCAAGCCGAGCAAGAGCACTTGAACGCAGTTGCCTAATAGGTTACTCCCTCAAATAAATTATTTTTGTGTCTTTTTCCTTCACTGTAAGTGTACGTGATACTTTGTTTTGAACTAAGATATTTGCATGCACCTAGGTATGTAGCCAATTCTTCTTTCAGGGTGCTTCTTATAAGACGAACATCTGATAAGACGAACAATTCTTCATGGTCCCTTCGAGTCGTATTGCCACGTTCCGTTTCCCAAGCTTTTGTTATCGTCCCAAAACACCACACGATTCTCAGCGCAAACCGCGCCTGCAGTTTTCGAGACGGTTCCGGACTGTAGTAGATCATTTCGATAAGATCACGCCCACTGTGCGAATGGTACAGATTGTTCTGGAACGTACGCCGCCGCCAGCGGTAGCGCTAGAACATTCGACAGCGGGAGTATAAATGCCGACGCGCTTCGCCGCTTGTCAGTTGTTGATCGAAGGCCGACGCTCCGTTCGCCGCTATCGGTCCGAGACTGCTATCTGTGCGAGACTGCTGCTGTAATTGGACTTTCCGTTTACCGGGCACAGGTTCGCCCAAATAAACAGTTAAATCCCAACACGAAGTCTCCTGTCTTCGGCCCCGTCACGACCCTGTGACATCTGGTGGAGGTGCTGCTTCGTTCATGTACCGCACGCCCCCGTCAAGCCGTGAACCCCGCCCACGTCGCGGAGAAGACACCGACGCCAACCAGGAGCAGCGAACAAGCCGCCGACAGCAAGGGCTACCACCGGAGTACGGGATTCTGGAAGACAAGGCGCGGAAGACCAAGGCCATGACCGCGACTGCAGCGACAATGACAACCGCCGCATCCCTGCCCACGATGGTCATGCATCAACCCAGGGAACCACCAATTTTCCATGGGTCATCGTTGGAAGACCCGGAGTCCTGGTTAGAAACATACGACCGTGTGGCCGCCCTCAACCACTGGGACAACGAAGAAAAGCTCCGGCGTGTGTACTTCTACCTGGAAGACACCGCAAGGACCTGGCTAGAGAATCGTGAGTCCACGCTCCGAACGTGGGATGTCTTCTGCGGCGCATTTCTGCAAACGTTCCCGAGCGTCGCTCGCAAAGAAAGGGCCGCTGCTCAACTAGAGACCCGGGTTCAGCTACCGAATGAGAAGGTTGGAATTTTCACAGAGGAGATGACCCGCCTATTTCGTCACGCTGACCCAGACATGCCTGAGGAGAAGAAAGTTCGTTTCCTCATGCGAGGGGTCAAACAGGAGCTCTTCGCGGGACTAATGAGGAATCCACTGAACACCGTCCAAGAATTTGTATCCGAGGCGACCACCATCGAAAAAACCCTTGACATGTGCACCAGACAGTATAATCGTCGCCTGACTCCAGAATGCGCTGCTGCTCAAACCAGTGACTCCGAAAACCTGCGTGAAACGATCCGAGCGATCGTGCGGGAAGAGCTGCGCAAACTGTTGCCTTCGGCGCAACCTCAAGTGGATTCGATCGCCGACATTGTGCGAGAAGAAGTTCGGCAATCACTTCGAATTCCCCATACACCGCTGCCCGAGCCAGAAACTATGAGCTACGCCGCTGCAGTGCGCCACAACGCTCCTCCCCGTCCACGCCAAAACGCCGCCCCGTCGCACTTCCGTCGCCAGACACCACCGCCGCCACCACCCCCACCGACGACTTACCGTTCACCAGCGGGCCAGCGCAGTGCGCCGAAGAAAACCGACGTTTGGCGCACCCCTGACCACCGCCCACTGTGCTATCACTGCGGCGAGGCCGGGCACACTTACCACCGTTGCCAGTACCGACAGATGGGACTGCGTGGCTTCGCCGTCGATGCACCACGTCCGCAGCCAGGAGAACGACCACGTGACATCGCCGACTACCTGACAGGAACTCGGTGGACACCACGAAGCCCTTCGCGTTCGCCGTCGCCCAGCCGCCGCACGTCACCGCACCACCGACAGTACTCTGGCCCAACGCGGGGCCGGTCTCCTAGCCCGTATCCGGGAAACTAAGGGCAGCAACCGATGGAGGTGCGGTTGCTGTGCGACGAACTACCGAAGATCCTCCGACGCCGACGCCGACGCGACGGAGCTTTTTGAACACAACCCCAACCAGGCAAAGCCCTGAAGGCAAAAGCTCACTTACCGAAGATGGCCGGACGACGCAACATGGAGGCAGCGGAACAAGTCGACGCAGCCGTGACCCGACGCCACGCCCTAACTGTAATGCGAGACGGTGAACTAGCGACCTCGACGTTCTTATCGACGGCCACAGAGTGACTGCTCTCGTCGATACTGGAGCCGACTATTCTGTCATCAGTGGGTCGTTCGCCGCGAAGTTAAAGAAAGTTAGGACAGCTTGGAAAGGCCCTGAAATCCGCACAGCCGGAGGTCATCTCGTAACGCCTGCAGGAATCTGCACAGCGAGAGTCACCATTAACGGCCGTATTTATCCTACAGACTTCATAGTCCTACAGCGTTGCTCGAGAGATGTCATCCTTGGCATGGACTTCTTATGCCTCCATGGTGCTGTCATCAACCTAAAAACAAAGTCGATAGCGTTATCCACAGAAGAAGCACTACCGCCGCGCACGCCGTCTGGACATCATGCCTTGAATGTGCTGGAAGAACAAGTCACCATTCCGCCTCGCTCAAGCGTCATTATTTCAGTCGGCGCTCCTGAATCACCTGACTTCAAAGGCGTCGTTGAAGGCAGTCAGCATCTGTTGGTCACCCGAAATATTTGCGTCGCAAGAGGAATTGCAGAGCTGCGGGGAGGCAAAGCAACGGTTATGCTCACGAATTTCAGCAATGAGTACAAACATGTGAACAAAGGAACAACGGTCGCATACATCGAAGAAATTGTCGAAGCCACCAGTGCTTTCGCCCTCGCCGATTCTACGGAACCTGCTCAGAGGAACCAAGCCCCTCCCATAGCTTTCGACGTCAATCTCACACTTTCGAACGATAAGCAAGAACAGCTCAAGGCCCTGCTACTGCAATACGAAGATTGCTTTTCGTCGTCATCGAAAATTCGGCAGACCCCAATCACGAAACATCGCATCATAACCGAAGAAAATGCCAGACCACTCCGTCAGAGTCCGTACAGGGTTTCGACGCGAGAACGTGAGGCCATGAAGAGACAAGTTGATGAAATGCTGCGGGATGACATTATCCAGCCGTACAAGAGCCCATGGGCATCCCCCGTGGTGTTAGTGAAGAAAAAGGATGGGACCCTACGTTTCTGCGTCGATTATCGCCGCCTGAACAAAATCACAAGAAAGGATGTGTATCCTCTCCCACGAATAGACGACGCACTTGATCGGCTCCATAACGCCAAGTACTTTTCGTCAATGGACCTCAAGACTGGCTATTGGCAAATCGAAGTCGACGAAAGAGACCGAGAGAAGACGGTGTTTATAACACCGGACGGCCTCTTCGAGTTTAAGGTGATGCCCTTCGGACTTTGCTCAGCGCCTGCAACTTTTCAACGCGTTATGGATACAGTGCTGGTGGGATTGAAGTGGCAGACTTGCCTTGTGTACTTGGACGACGTCGTCGTGTTTTCCTCGAGTTTCGACGAGCACCTTCGGCGCCTTGAAGCTGTACTTCAAGCCATCAAGACTTCCGGACTCACACTGAAGCCAGAAAAGTGCAGATTTGCGTATGAAGAGCTCTTGTTTCTGGGGCACGTTATCAGCAAGTCTGGAGTTCGTCCCGATCCACGGAAAACAGCCGCCATCGCCGACTTCCCGCCGCCCACTGACAAGAAAGCCGTGCGCCGATTTCTGGGCCTGTGCGCCTATTATAGGCGGTTCGTGAAAAACTTTGCCCGCATCGCCGATCCTCTCACTAACCTTACCAAGGCCGACGTGGAGTTCAAGTGGGAAACGCCACAGGAACACGCTTTCCAGGAGCTTAAACATCGCCTCCAGACACCTCCGTTACTTGCCCATTTCGACGAATTCCCCGAGACAGAAATACATACTGACGCAAGCAGCGTAGGTCTTGGCGCCGTTCTTGTGCAGAGGGCTGACGGACTTGAAAGGGTTATTAGTTACCCCAGCGGATCGCTATCCAAAGCAGAAGCAAATTATTCCACAACAGAAAAGGAGTGCCTCGCCATCATCTGGGCTACGTCGAAATTTCGCCCATACCTCTACGGCAGGCCCTTCAAAGTTGTGAGCGACCACCACGCCTTGTGTTGGCTAGCCACTTTGAAGGACCCTTCAGGTCGCCTCGCACGATGGAGCCTGAGACTTCAAGAATATGACATTACTGTCATTTACAAGTCCGGCAAAAAACACTCCGACGCCGACTGTCTCTCTCTTGCGCCTGTCGACCAACCGCTACCCGACGACCCGGATGACGACTACTTCTTGGGAACGATCACTACCGACGACTTCGCTGAACGACAGCGGGCCGACCCGGAACTTAAGGCCCTAATAGAATACCTCGAAGGCAGGACCGCCGAAGTCCCGAAGGTATTCAAGCACGCACTTGCGTCGTTTTTTCTACGAAACGGTCTTCTACAAAAGAAAAACTTTTCACCACTTCCGGCTACGGCTAAGTACCTCCTTGTGGTGCCTTCAGCTCTGCGACCAGAACTCCTGCAGGCCCTACACGACGATCCGACAGCAGGGCACCTCGGTGTTTCTCGCACGCTCGCGAGGATACAAGAAAGGTACTACTGGCCGCGTCTTACCACCGACGTCACTCGTTATGTGAGGACATGCCGGGACTGTCAGCAACGCAAGACACCGCCGACAAGGCCAGCGGAACTTCTGCAGCCAATAGATCCAGCTTGCCGACCTTTCCAGCAGATTGGTATGGACCTACTGGGGCCGTTTCCGACGTCGGCTTTCGGAAACAAGTGGATCGTGGTAGCTACCGACTACCTCACCCGCTACGCCGAGACAAAAGCCCTGCCAAAAGGCAGTGCATCCGAGGTAGCTAAGTTTTTCATCGAAAATATCGTCTTACGTCACGGCGCCCCGGAGGTCCTTATCACCGACAGAGGAACGGCATTCACTGCCGACTTAACTCAAGCGATTTTGGCATACAGCCAAACAAACCACCGCTGGACGACAGCGTACCACCCACAGACCAACGGCCTCACCGAGCGGCTTAACAAGACGATCGCCGACATGCTGTCAATGTACGTCGATGTCGAACACAAGACGTGAGACGCCATTCTTCCGTATGTGACCTTCGCATACAACACGGCGGTGCAGGAGACGACACAGATATCTCCATACAAATTGGTCTACGGAAGGAGCCCGACAACGACGCTCGATGCCATGTTACCTAATGTCACCGACGAAGAAAACCTCGATGTGAGCGAGTACCTTCATCACGCAGAAGAAGCCCGACAACTTGCGCAGCTCCGTATCAAGAATCAACAGACGACCGACAGCCACCGTTACAACCTTCGACGACGCTTCGTGGAATACCAGCCCGGTGAACGTGATTGGGTGTGGACGCCGATACGCCGACGTGGACTAAGTGAAAAGCTTCTGCGACGGTACTTCGGACCGTACAGGGTGGTTCGACGTCTCGGCCCACTTGATTGCGAGGTTGTCCCCGACGGCATCACGAACTCTCAACGACGCCGATCGCGACCTGAAGTCGTCCATGTCGCACGCCTAAAGCCGTTTCATGCGCGTTAACAAACTGAAACAGTGCTTTTTTTGTATTATTGTTGTATTGTAATTTATACCTTGTACTTTCTTGCATTATTATTGTACCTTCATCTTTAGTTAAAGCATCGAGACGATGCCTTTTTCAGAGGGGGGCAATGCCACGTTCCATTTCCCAAGCTTTTGTTATCGTCCCAAAACACCACACGATTCTCAGCGCAAACCGCGCCTGCAGTTTTCGAGACTGTTCCGGACTGTAGTAGATCATTTCGATAAGATCACGCCCACTGTGCGAATGGTACAGATTGTTCTGGAACGTACGCCGCCGCCAGCGGTAGCGCTAGAACATTCGACGGCGGGAGTATAAATGCCGACGCGCTTCGCCGCTTGTCAGTTGTTGATCGAAGGCCGACGCTCCGTTCGCCGCTATCAGTCCGAGATTGCTATCTGTGCGAGACTGCTGCTGTAATTGGACTTTCCGTTTACCGGGCACAGGTTCGCCCAAATAAACAGTTAAATCCCAACACGAAGTCTCCTGTCTTCGGCCACGTCACGACCCCGTGACAGTATCAAAGGGAGTTCACTGTAGTTTCCGAAAAAAGCGTACGCAAACTCCAAGAACGTTGTTTTGAGAAAAATGCAAAAATTACGTAAGGATACCCACATACTTCCTGACAATGTGTCGAAAAAGAAAGGAAAAAAAATTTAAACCACAAGTGCCGAAGTATGACATACTTTTTGAAAGATACGAATATTCTCAACAATAAGGTGACTGCAAAATCTCAAAACAAAATTTTTGAGCCAATGGAAGTCTTACCCCACCTTAACTTCCAAGTACAGAACATCACTTAAATAAGCTTAAAGGCAGTGCAAGAAGATACAAGCCCCAAGCAAAAGCCAGATCAAATGCACGCAGTGCCAGAAAATGCAATGTGTGCAATGTTCCGCGTGTGCCAGTTCTCACTGTTGCAATCCAAGTCATGGCACAGTAAAGGCCAGCCCATTGCACCCAAAGTACGAAGAGCCACAAACCAAACCCAGAAATATGAGACGGCAATCAACCCACCAGTAAGCACACTAGCACATTAGCGGATAGAGATGCGTAGCACATACAGGCATAAATGTAGAGATTGCACAAAATAATCTAATCAGCACACTCACACACATTATAAATCTCACTTTGGTTTGTTAATCCCCTTGGAGAGCAGGTCTTGAACATCAGCGCTCAGGTCTGGCACCCTCTGGAGCTGGTGCAGTGTGCCCCTGTTGTAAAACAAGTCGGGTACATCTTACATTCTTAACACGTGTGCAGTAGACTAGCAATCTTCACTCTGTTAATTCATATTTTCGGTTAATTCGAACAAAATTCCATTTTTTGGTTGGTCCTCTATTCTTTCAATGCATTTAAAAGCCTGTTCATTCAAACTCCACCATTTGATTAGTTCATACTTTTTGCCGTTCTATACCAGAAGATATCTTCTGATTTCCCACTACTATTTAAAATTTTGCGAGCTTATATATACTAACAGTCTAAAAATGAAAAATGAGCACTTCTGGCCTTCAAGGAAAAAGGGTTTGCTAGTAAACAAATGTTTGAAACGAAGCACACACACATGGTAAACCGTGCTGCTTCTTAACTGATATAGAGAGCTTTGTGCTGAAGGCACATACCTATAGCAACGAAGCAGTTGGCGATTCACAATTCCTTTAAACAGTATGATCAGCAGTAAATGGCCAATAAACTTGGTGGACCTTACACCTCTGCTTTCTGTTTGTTGTGTGCAGCTGGGTTCGAAAATAAGCAAATAAAAATATTTAAACGTGATAAAATCAATGCATAATCATAATGTGAAGTGCACCTCACCCAAAGCCATCTATCTGAGAACTTCTGATAATTCAAACTTCTTGATAAGTCAAAGAAGAAAAATTCAGAGGTCCCTGCGGGTTTAAAATAACCAGAGCCTATTGTAAGTCCTGCATTCTTCTGGTGTTTACGGGTGGAAATCAAGCACCACCATGTATAGAATGTGCCGAGGAGCCGGACATTATTGGTCATGCAGGGCACTTTTTGAGGATTAATAACAGCATTTCCCTACACTTCCGGTGTCAAAGACAAGAGTGTTTTTGTTGGTGCAGTAACTTGAAATGGATATGTCTAAACTTTTGCAAGTAGTCAATTTTAATTTTGAAGCGAATATAGTGATTTTGGCCAGATAATTTAGAATACAATCTGAATAGTACAAATAAAAAAATTGTAAGAAAAAAATGTGCATATTTGTTGTACTTTTAGGAATCGAAACAAGGCCTGTACAAATGCCGTTTTTTTTTTGTTCAAAAGAAGTGGAAACAACTTTGACTAGTAGCAGGATTTGGTTTAAAAATTTACTCTACATACTTAGAACATGTAAGCCAAACTAATGAATCTTTTAAACATGAACAAATTGCAGATGGTAATGACTTCTGATGGCTCACGACTATTTCGGTTGCTTGCGAATGCCTTTTTCACTTGTTTGCACCGCACATTAGCAACGATCCCTGCTTAGCGCGCTCCGGGTGTCGATTATTTAAGTTAAGCTGGCCGTGGCTAAACCTGACCAAATTTGCAGAAAGTTTAATGCCATTAAAAATACAAATGCTTGCCTGGACCCCAGAACACATTTGAAATATCCTATTTTTGCCATATATTGGGGACTGAATAAAGGAGCTTATTCTGGCTCTTCGTTATCTCGGAACAGGTTTCCTACACTGTAGGAAATGTCTCCGTAAGCTTCCTCTTGAGGCATCTAAAAAGGAAGCACTTTCGGCCAAAGCCTACCTGAGATCGAAGTTTTCAGGATACTGGGTGGTCTCCGTTCGGGGATAGCTGATGTAACCCTGGGTGTAGAGACGCTCCGCGATCTGCATGGCGTGGTGCGGACCCATGCCCAGACCGGAGCTCGCAATGCGCATCAGCTCAACAGTGTTGAGAGCCACGGGCCGAGGCTTGCTCTTCTCTTTCTGGGTGACATCTGTTATACTGCAAAGAGAGAAGTCGCGAAAAAGTCGGAGGCAGACTTTTCTAAGACAAAGTATTCTATGTGCAGTTAACTTTTTATGGGAGACGTGCAGTGGGAGGCGATTCTCGTCTACTGTCCGAGGTGTCTCTTCATGAACAGAGTACCACGGTTGCATTTTCTCATCAACACCTATTGTAGGCACGCTGCTGTCTCTTATACATAAATATCTGGTACATCAGCATCTCTTAAAAAAGCATTCGACTGTATGAGCTCAAACCTGATCCCGTTCAAGTCTCGTCCAACATCAAAAAAGTCTACGTTTACACTGGAAAGTTCATAATAGGCGAACGTTCATAACACCGTATTCAAAACAATGCTGTGGTTCATTTACTTGGCAACAACCGATTATTACGGTAGACTCTCGGTAAACGGGAATATCCTACATAAAATTGCTGATAAAGTGAACTGCTTTTAATTTGATTCGTTTCATGTTTCGAGTTCAGCCCCCTTGTTCACTAATGAGTGAAACAAAAATCTTGACGGAATATATTTTCTTGGTCCCTGAAGGCTCCATTTAAGGGGATGCTGGTGTTATACGCAAAAATTCACCGAAAAGTCAGATTTTCGAAACTTTTTTTTTATAATCTATACATTCAAGAGAATTTACCTCTGCAACAATAATGCATTCTGAAAAGATGTTACAGTATTTTGTTATCACACACTAAAATTATTTTCTTGAGAATTATCATTGACAAATGCGCCCCAGGACGAGGAACCTTTCTTTCATGTAGTGTGCTTTTGACCAGTTTTTTTTTTTATGTAGTGTTCAGATTTTAGGAGCTTCTACACCCAATAAAGCAACAAACTACAATTTCATTCACGACAAAATAACTTATTAGATGATACAATGATAAAAACTCCGGGGTTACCAACCACCATATTAGGCTTGGCAATAATTTTTATAAGAACTGAGCTAAAATTGCACTGACGGTCTAGTTCGATCTTTGATTGCTCTAGAATACAACCTTACAATTGTTTTCAAGATATTAAATCCTAGAATTGCAAGTCGATATTGCATATTATGTTCAATAATTCAAACTATTGCAGATCAGAAAAAAAAAGAGGACTAGCAGGCTAAACATACTTTGACTGAAAATTTATTTTTATGATAAAAACTGATGTTTATTTAGAGCATCTTCACATTGTACCAACAATTTAAAGTCATATTTAATAGAAATGTCTCTAGAAATTAATGACATCAGTATGATTGCAAGCTTTTGGCTGACTTTGAGGTTGCTTGGTAAATAAATATATTTCACATTTAAAATTAAGACAAGATAGAAAGGTTATTGCCAACGTTGAACTACAACTACCCGGCAGGTCTGCAAGAATTTTCTGCCGAGACACTAAATGGTAATTACGTATATCTCTATTTTTCACACCACTGCAGAAATTTTAACGTTGTTTGCATTTCTTCAGAAATATGCCACGTTACATTGGTTCTAGAATTAGGATGCGCTAAAGAAAAGCTGCAAAGAAGTGTTACATGCCAACAGTGCTTGAAAAATTTGGCAGCATATGCGTTTCCACTTAAAACACACACACACAAAAAAAAGAGTAAAGGTTCTTATACTTCGGAAAAGGATACTCAAGCCTCATTACAACAAAGTCCCACCAGCCACAAAAATACTTTGTTATATCCAAAAATTCGTCATAAACATATATTTTTAGTAATGTATCTATGACAGAGCTATTTTCCAATTCGTTATATCTGGGTTTGTTATATCGAGGTTTAAGTTATAACTATTAGTAAACGAATTTGAGTTAACAAGTGCACCCTTTGTGTGCATAAAAAAGGGCTGTTGGTACTGTAGAATGTTCATGATGTTCATACTTTGATGCTTCAAATGTGAGATTTTGTGTGCTGGCTCCTCAATATCTATTGTACATTAAACCACGCCTTTTATTTGGCTAGAAATTTTGCCGTCGGCCTTTAATGTCAAGAGGCTGCAAAGCGCGACCATTATGCCATGCAACACTGTCGTACTCGACCAGACTTCCGAGTGATGAAGCATGTGCAAAAATGAAATCGTGGATAAATACTATCGCAAAAAAGAAACAAGCAGATGCCTTACGTAGCCTCCTTGATGTTGGTGGTCTGCGAAAGAAACACCATGGCCACCTCACGGTCAAATATCCTGCCCCGCTCCCAGTCCAGGGTCATGGTTTGCTCGTTGGTCAGTTTGACCTGCAAGTGAAATGGGGCACCCGATGAACGCTTTCAGTCAGCCTTCAATTAATGTTGTGCAATAGCGTCTGAATAGCGTCAATAATGGTGTGCAATAGCATCCGAAGAAAAGGCACAGTGACAGGCCTGCACCTGGAGCATGCCAGCTTTGGTGTAACATGTGGCTGCATTGGAAAATGTAGCGGACTATCGGCAAACAGAATTGCTGCTTCAATGGAACAACTGCCTCTGGATTGGTTGCGTGCTTTGATACCTCCGTTCGTGTTTCAGAAAATCTAACTCCTTTTAAACAAAACATATTTTGCTGGTCCGTTCAAAGTCCATTTATTGAGTCTACTGCCCCTCAAAGGGGTGTCCGGCTCATATTTTAAAGATCTCTTCATGGGATCCTGCAGAATTCAATCTATTAGTTCCTAATGTCCAAAGGCTGGAGAAAAATTTTCATAAAGTTAAACTTTCTTTGATATGCTCAAAAGCAAACACGTCAATAAACCTGGACCCTGAACCAATACCAGAAGGAAAAAAAAAAAAAAACACCAGGCTGTGCGGAAGGCACAGCAGAGTCACAGCAAAAGCTAGAAGAGCACCTTTCAGAGAGAGAGAGAAACGAGAAAAAAGGAAGGCAGGGAGGTTAACCAGAGCCTTTCAAAACAATCATTGGGTAACTACTGCAAGCACACTTCGCCAACACCCACTAGGGCATTAATAATAAAATTTTTTTGGTACTAGGCCGTCATTCGCTATGCTATTCTTCGTCATTCTTTTGAGAAGCGTGGTATCCACTAAACACTTGCAAGGAATTTTGTACCAATTGTTGATGCAGTGGCTCACAAAGATGAGGAATCAAGGCTGAAGTGGGTATGCGCCACAGTTAATAGGTGAACAGAACAGCTTTTGTAATGGTTGTCGCATTGGACAACCCACTCGTTATGCTATTCACATTGAGCGACGACTGCTTGTTCTTTTTCTGTTTTAAAACGCTTTATAAGTCGTACTACCGTGATTGTTTCCCGACATCAAGCCTGCTGAAGGCAAGTTTGCCAACAAGTCTCACGCATCCGTGCGGCTCAATGATAGAATTTCGGGCTGGCACTCAGCAGACCCGGATTTGAGCCCCAGTGTATCATTGGTGTTACTTTTTTTTTTACTAATTTTGCGCGATATAGTTACGAACACCGACGGCGGAAGCGGATCACTGCGCGTGACCCGAGTTGTGATCTCATAACAGCTTTGGCTGTAAAAAAGATGCATAACTGGGCATTACTATGTCCAACAGTTAAACCACTGCTAGATTATAACTAGGCATTTTAACCACAATAATAGCTGGCCAAAACGGGCCGTTACCAAATTCACTCATGAGCGGCCCAGGAGTGAACACATGACCAAGACACCAGTGATAATGTGCATGTCATATTCATAATAACTACCTGACAAACAATACTGATACTTTCAAAGAGCACGAGAAAAATGGTTTTAAATGTCTAGGCTTGTGTGAATAGTGAATTTTTTATTCGGAGTGAATTGGAAGCGAATGTTGAGTTTGGTCGAATAATTTCGAATTGAATTCGAATTGTATATGTGACATATAAAAGATGGGCATATTTACCATGACCTAACTAACTTGCAAAATATTTTTTTATTGAAATAGAGCCTCTATGCAAATGACTTTTTTTTATTCAAAGAAGGTCGAAAAAATTCTGAGTAGTAGCAGGATTTGACTTTTGGTAAGATGCAAGTGATAACCTGCGAATTCCATAACATTTTAAAATTTATTACACATATAGCATACAATTCACCAAAAGCAATTGATCTGAGGGTAATAGGTTCATTCAAAGGGGCCCTGCAACATTTTTTCCAGTAGCCATAACATGGATTCACTAACGAAGCTTATTGCCTCACAAATTTAACGGCGAAAACACTTTTAAAATCCTTCCAGTACAAGCAGAGTTGCGAAGATTTGTTTGCAAGCTGCTTTCTCGTCTTTCCCCGACAAAAGCGCTGGGGGGGGGGGGGGGGGAAGGGGGAGATCACGTGTGCCTCATGAGCTTCAGCGCTTTTTCTGTCGTTCTTCGAATACGCGACTTTTTCAGTGCGAATGCGCACACACCTGTGCACAAGTGGTAGTCCCAGGAACGACCGAGCGCGCCATGCCTACGGCTCATACAATGGCTGTGATGAGGGATTTTTCAGCTTGTGGCTTCATTTGCCGACTGATAAGAGCAATTTTCAGCCAAACTTTCAAAATTTATTGCGAATTGCAGGCCGTGTGCTTCGCTACGACATTTGGCTCGCGTTTTCTCGGTAGCCTCGACTACCGAACGGTAGCGTTTTCTGACCATCCTCAAAACGTCTTGCAGGAGGCCCTTTAAGTTTGAAAGAGGCTTCCCAGCAGAGCAAATTCCTTTGTAAAAATGCTTTCACGGCTTAGCATCTTTACACGGTAGTGAAAGATTAATATACATTATTCGTTCATTGCGAATACTTCAGAATTTTCAATAATTTAAATTCTAATTGAAGCACATTCAAATACACTACTATTTTTGAATATTCGAACTATTCGAATACTCACACAAGCCTGCCAATATCCTTGACATACAAGCTCCTGAAGTTAGCATACATTTGTGAAGGTTTTTCCTTGAAATGCTCTTAAATAAGGTTCATGCGGTAATCTAATAAAGAAAAAAAAGAAAACATACTTTACTTACTAGCGTAATCCTCTAATTACATAATCCTTGCACCCCCCGCATTGCCAAACAAAAATACGATTTTTTTTTCCATGAGTGTTTATCGCATTCTCGGAAATTTCAGCTTCAATGTTGTCTGCTCCCTCCAACTACAGATGATGATAGTGCAGGACAGCCTGCACCATCCCTTAAGTATTATGTGTACTATCAACGCACGGCGCTCCAATCCAAACCAAGCCCTAGCGGCAGATCCGTGTTGCGGTAATTACGGCGTCCATTCTGCAGTTACGCTATGGGCTATACAGAAGCTAAACGGCTGCTTTCAAAGTTGAAAGTGAATGATTATGCACTAAACAATGAAAACAGGGCCACTGGTCGGTAGTTCGAAGTTGACGAGTTTTCTGTTTACTACTTGTGAAGACAACGCGGCTAGTCGTAAGCCAACAAAACGCCCTGGGCTTTTTAGTGTGCCTAAGACTTGAAATGAATGGTAAAACTTAATTTCGTCAGAGGGTAACTGCAGACGATCCCGTGTTATACAGCAATTTGCCCAAGTTTGACGTCGTACGATAACCTTTTTCGCGCTCCCAAAAGTGACGAACTGCTAACACTACGCCCTGCAATCTTTGCGTACAATATTCCTAAAACTCTCTGCTATTTGCTTGCAGCTTTTGTGTCTCAAATAAATCTTTTCTTGTGTTGAATCTGTGGTTTTACTGTTAAGGACAGTCTTGATTATCTGTATAATTACTTGCTAGTGTGATAATCTTGATTTGTGACCACTTCGTTTTCTTTTACTTTTTTTCGCACGGTATGATATTGTGAAAAATTTTTCTCGCTTAATTCTTGTGACCCCCTTAACTATTCATCGGTTTTCCTAGAAAAAAAAAAGGAACGAGGATTATGCAAGTAAATAAGGTAGTTCACCTGCACACTAAGGAACCAGTAAGGCTCGGGCTTGAACGACTGTATCTTGTCATGCCGGTCGACACAAAAGCCCAGCGTCGGTGTCTGGCACGGTCCAAACGACACACACGCACTGTCCAAGTTTCCATACTTTCCCTGCAAGTAACAATAACGCATCGAGTTAGTAGAGACTCATTCTACATCGTAACGCCCATTCATAGCAAACTCTCGCACCTAGAAATTTGTGATGTCAAGCACCTGCTTCCTGTGGGGCAGATATGAACTTCGTGGTGATTTGCCGCAAAATCATGAGCAAGCACCCGCTTATGAAAGGTAATCAGACAATGTATGAAAGGAAAGACCCTTGCTCGGTTGTGGACTAAATTGAAGATGGCAGCGGAAGAGGCTTCAAGAAGATTGCACACCAGCACATCTAATGAAATGTTTTGTTGAATATGTGTGAATATACTGTTTTTACTGAACGGGAGCGAATCCTCATATGAAAATACATGCGTTATGACAAAGAGGGAAAGACATTTTTCAAATGTTCTGAAAACGTCACACAAATGCGACCCTGAGGTACCACACTGTAAGAGCCGCACACAGGGCGAATTTTGGAGCCCTAACCTGGCCCGGGCCTGCTGACTGCTTCCAAGCCCGCCCGAGCCCTGCGAGCCTGCCCAGCCTGGCCCGATATAGCATAAAAAACAAAAGGCCACGTCCAGCCCGGCCTGACATTGTGGAAGTTTGCTGTGGAGACAAGATGTCGTTATACGATAATGTGACATTTTATTCAACATGATTGGCACTTATTTAACATCTTTTGACAATGAGAAGGGCGTGCTTTCTCAGGTAGAGACGCTTGCTTGGGATCTGCACAACAAAGGGCCTATAAACCACCCAGTGCAGGGGTACTCAAAGCGGGCTCCGCGGAACCTACCGTAATTACTCGAATCTAACGCGCACCTTTTTTCCGGTTAAGCGAGTTCATAAATCGCATGCGCGTTAGAATCGAGTACGAACAAAAAATTACGGTCAATCTATTGCCATCGCAAATCCGAAATGGCCGCCCCCTACGTGCGTCGGCATGGTGCGTCGGCTATTTCTGCCTATGTGTTTACCATGTGCGGCACTTCGTACGTGTGCTGAGGAGTTCGTCATCTAGTAGTGCATTAGCATCGACAACGTGAAAGGGCCGACTCCAAAAACTCAAGTGCACCACGATGCCGCTTTTAAAAGAAAAGTCATCGCGTGTGCAGAAACGGACGGAAGTCGGGCCGCATCGCGGTCGTTCCCGAAACGTGCGTGCGGGACCGGCGGAAACAAAAGCAGGAGATTGTCGACAGCAAAGCTTCACGCAAAGGCTTCAGTGAACCACAGCAGGGTCGGTTTCAGCAAATTAAAGAGCTGCTCCGCGAGTATGTGCTGGAGGAGCGAGCGGCACAGCGGCCCGTGACGACAGAACTGCTCCAAGTGCGGGCTATGCAATTAGTCTTAGAAAAAAGTCTAATGCGGAGCCAGTTTAAAGCGAGCAGGTGCTGGCTAATTAACTATATGAAGAGGAAAGGCTCTTCCCTTCGAAGGGGAACATGCATATGCGAAAACTTTTACGGAGAAGTACGATGAAAAGCTTTACAGTTTTCAAAGGTTCGTCCTAAACTTGCGGCGCAACAACGGCTACCTGCTGGGCAAATCTGGAATGCCGATCAGACGCCTCTTTACTTCGACATGCCTGGCACCACAACTGTCGAGAAGAAGGGGGCAAAGCAAGTTCGCGTGCTGACATCGGTCCACGGTAAAACTACAGTGACGGCAATGCTCTGTTACACGTCAGATGGGCACAAGCTTCGCCCGTACCTCATATTTAGATGGAAGACAATCCCGAAAGGAATCGTTTTTTCGAGTGGTGTGATCGTGCGGGCCAGCGAAAAAAAATGGGTGCGCGTTGCAATCGATGTCTTTCGTTTTTTTTTTTTTTTCGCGGTGGAAATCGGGTGCGCGTTACAATCGAGGGCGCGGTAGAATCGAGTAAATACGGTAAGTGTTCCGCAGACCCCTCCTCGTGGTTCAACAAGTCACTGATAAATTTTTCCTTGTTCCACACTCGCCCACTCAACCCACTTAGATGGCAATCCCAAAGTGTGATCGACCTAGGGAACCTCCATTATTCACAGCCCAGCTCCAATAAGTACATCTCGGCACATAACAGAAAAGCGCGGGCCGCACAATAAATACCACCGGCAGTTTGTAGCCAGCCAGACTCCGAAAATGGGATGCACGGTGGCTTAAACTTCGGGGGCCTTATATTACCACCATGCACATTTCGGCTATTTCAAGATAGGTGCCACTATGCTTAGGCTCTGCGCCTCTACTATGCTCATTTGTCCACCACCACAGTTGGCCCTGCACGCACTGCGCGCTACGCTTAGTCCTCTGGACACAATTTTGCGTCGTTCAACATGAGCAAGAAGGCCAAACATAGAGCTTACTCCAAAAGATTTTCGCAGTACAGGTTTTCAATTTGAATTTATCGAACATAAATATGAAAACAGTTGGGGAGGGGAAGGGGGGGTTCTTGGCACATAATTTAGCTTAGCACGGTTCCCTAGCACCAACATGCTTTTGAAAGCCCCTGATCTAGAGGATGAAATTTATTAGCGTTGCAGTTGCACACGAGTCTACAACAAACGCGTAGCTGTAAGAATTCTTCGAAATCGTGCCCCAATAGTGGAGTTACCCACGTTTGATGACCGAAACATGGCCGTCACATGTTTAGTTTTTTTGTCCTCGACTTCTCTATTCGTGAGTAAGGGCATGAATGTCTGCTGCGGACAAATAGGTTCTTGTTGGTGCTGATCTGACCAGATGCAAATGTCCGAGCAATGCTAAGGAATCCGAAAGGCCTGGAGAGAATAGCAGGATTGTTTTTATACTCAGAGGCACACCCAGTCTTGTAGCGCTGCTGTGTTCGGCATTGTTAGTCACGATGGTGCTCTGAACTTAAAGCAATTATTTACTTGAAATGCTGCAAAAATACTGGGGATGGTTTAGGGGCCCTTTACTGACAATGATAATCATAATTAGTAATAGCGGATGATTGTTACGTGCAGTACACAAACAGCAGCTAAGTAAACAAAAATAAGCCGCTGAATTTGTGAATGTAAAAAGCATGATACGATTACGTGATTATGCGGTGCACTGTAGCAGAAGACTATGGATAAGTTTTGATGCCCTACAACTTTTTAACTTATGTTTAAGACAAAGTTGAACATATTCGACAGATATTAAATTCAACATTAAAAACTATAGAGTAAAAGTGGCTGGAGAGCGTTTTATTCCTATTTAACAGAAAGCATGAAAAGTGTTTTTCTATATAAATCTTATCAAAATGATTCACTGTAGACGGAAATAGAATTCATGCCTTGTAGTTCAAAAAAAAAACAAAAGTTATGAACACTTACCTGAAAGTACTTAGTCTGGAAACGAGTGAATGCACATCCAATGCGAAGGTCGAGCTCCTGTCTTGCGTCCACAGACCTCGCTTCATTCTCGTTGGGCTCCACCAACTGATTCATGGCCGCCTTGATGTCCTTCTCGGTGATGGCACTGAACCGAGCTCGGAAGATGTACTGCAAAGCAAACACACGCCAGACTCAAATTGATAAAACATTCAAAGTCAGTTTAGAGCCCCACCAACCCAATTATCATTTTGCCCCTTCAGGCATTGAGTACACGTTTGTGGGACACAACTTCTTTTGGACAGTTCTGGGGCGGCGACGGCTACGGAAAAGCAACCAGTACACGGGCACTGTGCTTATGGTGAATTCAAGTGTCTCCCCCATACCCTAAATATTCATTGAAATTGCAGTGTAATTAAAGATGAGCTGTTTGTTGAGCACGTTACTATACTCGCGGGCATCTTCGATACCATGAATATGACAACAAAGGCAACAGAGTATTTTTTTTTCACCTCTCTTAATCCTTGATGTTAATATCTAGCTTGTGCACGTATTTTGAGACAGTGATTCAACACTTTTTGATAAAAGATCACAATAGCACAAGTAAGTGTTTAATTACTTGGTAACTATTGTGGCTGACTGGAATATTACAAAGCAACATACAACCATCTCAATTTTCTTACAGCAAAGAAAAACACCTTGTAATCAATTTTTGTAACTGTCATGGACCAATTATAACTTACATCTGAAGGAGTTAAACGTGAGAAATGCTAGTGGTCTGTTTTAAAAATGTAACAAATCTCTGAAATCACATACAAGTCTGTACCTTCCATCTGATAAGAAACGCAAGGGCTCCAATTATTCTTGTTTGAAATCATCCACAAGTAAAGATTGAGTTTTATCTCGCTAATTGAAGTTGCGTGTAGGCTAGATAACACACAAGGAATATTTCTGACAATTTTCTTAAGATAAACACAAACAACCCAACATTAAGCTTTCACGAAATTCACATTTGATTATATGCAAAAATTCTAAAACACCTTCACTGTCAAAGCACGGTTCTTTTAGCAAGCGACAAAATTCTCTTGCGTGCTCGCGAAAACCAACCTTGGTACAAGCATTCCCTTTCCCAAGGCATCTTCCTAAAAGTTTTCACGCTACTGCAAAAAAAAAAGCACCCTTGTCTTTTTAGCTAAAATTAGCTTTCCGTGATACTCGGTTTTACACAAGTCACTGGTTATATCTGTCGTGTAGTCTTGATAACATGCGCACCTGTTGGTTGTACGATGTGGGCTTTCTCAGAAATGGTTTGACAATGTTGATGACTTCGAAGCAGATGTTCTCCCCTTCCTTGTCGCAGTCTAGCCACAGCACCAAGTAGTCACAGCCCTGTGCCTACAACACGATTCAAAGAACAAGCAATGTACAAAAGAAGTGAATTGATCGAGGGACCCATTTTTCTTGTTTCACAGAACCACATGAACACAAGAGCTAATTAAGCATAAGAAAGCACAGGAAACTATTTTCGAAGATTTTATTGAAGTACAATACAAACCAAGAGCTTCGGCAGATGCGGAGCTTGCTGCATCATATCAAATGTGCCAAGCTGTCTTTTTCCTGTATTTATTAATTACCACACTTCAATTAGAAAGCACAAATAAAACCCTCCATTCTTTCCCTGGCTTCATTAGCTCTTGGCATTGCGTGGCTCTATCGACAAGCTATCTAGAGTTATGGAAGGAGATTTTGTTTCGGACTTACTTCTTTTTCAAGAAATCTCGGGAGTTGCAGTTTGGGGTTGGCTTCCTTCTTTTCCGTTGGTGCGTTGAACAGTTCAGCCTTCGAAGAAACATGAGGCACACAAACAAAGTATACAATCAGGAGAGTTCAACAGTGATTCGTAATGGAATACCAAAACATGTTTACCACCACCTGTCCCCATTTCTCTCCTAGAGCAAAAATAGTTCCAGACTTGCGTTCACAAGTGCCTTCGATAATTCATGCTACTAAATGTGCTCAATCAAGAATCAATATTAATCTGTGTAAACATAGCTTTTCTGGCTGAGCACGACTGGAATAAATTGTCGCGGCAACTTACCCACCATATGTGTTTGAAAATTTCAGTCACTACACTTGTCTGTTCTGGACAAAAATTGTTCGCTTCAGATTGCTACTGTGCAATTTTCACGGTCAGTTAACTTCTTTCAATGCCTTACATAAAATATTGTAATAATTACTGCATTAATAAGAGAATTTCAGGGGTATCGCAAGCCAAAATCATGACAATATTATGAGGCACGCCATAATTACGGACTCCAGGATAACTTTTCACCACAACGACGTGTACCTAAATCCAACTAAATGGGTATTGCAGCATTTCACCCCATTCAAATGTAGCCGCCGTCATCGAGACTCGAACCTACGTCCTTGTGCTTAGCAGAGCAATTCAATATCTACTCAGCTACAATGACAAGTTGCGCATTACTGTGCAGTGGTGTATTACATGTATTTTTTTGTGGCATAATCACCTTTATTTAAAATCTTGCATAACATTCCCTCTGCATTTCTCATGTTCACCACTGGGCGCACGCCGCAAGTATACAAATTAAAAAGTGAAATAAACAATTCGGACTGCCGGTTATTTAGTAATTTGAATCTAGTAGTTTGGATCTAGGATTCAGATATATTACCCGAATTAGCATCACGAAGCGCTTTAAACTATTAAAATATTAGATATGCGACAGCTCACTTCAGCGAGCTTAATCGCGATCGAGACTTTAGATCCCGATCGAGCGCGATCTACTTTAGAAGTGCGTGCCCCTGTGAACGCGGTGTTTTCTTTCCACCTCTCGGAAGTATTTTGAGAAGTACACGCCGCTCACAACGAAAGATGTCACACGATCTTGACACTTAAAAGCAGTCAACTTTACTTACGAACCCAGTGATTCATTCTCGTACTCTGTTCAAACCAAGCATCGCTCCGTGAAATCGCAACAGGTATACGCCTCGATTAAGCCAACATCGTGAGAAGTTTGCACCGGTCTCCTTCAACTCTGTTCGGGCGAAATAGAATAGCCAGTGAGAAGATGATGGTACTAAACGTAACTCACGGGGTCCACTCGATCCCAGCTGTTGTACTTGCTGTGAAAGTCGGTGGTCATAACGTGACCGCACACCGATGTCATCTTGAAACGTGCCGGCTCGTTGTAGAACTTGCCCACGTACTCGTACACAGTGCAGGCGCTGCTTATGCCTTTTCGCGGCTTCATGTTGCCGTTGGACAGGATGGCTGCCAACGACTGGGACAGCGCCGGCTTCTCGGCGACCATAAGAACAGTCTTCATGGCGAATCACCAGTACGCTCGCTTCGCAAACCAAGCCTTCACGAGAGCGACATTTTGGATTTGATGCGGATGGAGGAGTGTTTTCGAGACGCACCGCCAGAGGACCAATGTGTTGCAGTTGTGTTGCTAGGAGACAAATAGAGAGATGAAACCGGACATGTTTAGGTAGATATATGAGAAGATTCAGCAGGATTCCGTTGTTTAAAACTCATAAAGGAGGAAAATTTGTATTGCTGGTAAGCTTTTTTCATCAGCAAATCGCAGGTTACTAAGATACTCTTCATTAACTGTTATCCCTAACTCTTCCTAATCTAGGGTCCTGAAAATCTCCTGCAAACACGCGGTGAACAGCATCGGAGAGATCGGGTCTCCCTGCCTTACATTCGTCTTTATTGGGATTCTGTTGCTTTTAAATGCGAAGCATTTTTAGAAAGCTTCAGCGAGTTTGACCGTATCTATCTATCTATCTATCTATCTATCTATCTATCTATCTATCTATCTATCTATCTATCTATCTATCTATCTATCTATCTATCTATCTATCTATCTATCTATCTATCTATCTATCTATCTATCTATCTATCTATCTATCTATCTATCTATCTATCTATCTATCTATCTATCTATCTATCTATCTATCTATCTATCTATCTATCTATCTATCTATCTATATATCTATCTATCTATCTATCTACTTACGATTTTAGCTCTCCTGGCCGTTTGGGTAATGACATCTATACCAAACTTGGTATAGCCTAACATGACTGTGTGAGCAGCAAAGGTGTGGTGACCAGTCATAACATGAAAATCATGACATGCACGGTATCAATGCCATGATTTACGTGTCGTGGTCTTGCTGCTCCTGCGGTGGTTTCATTCACATGGCATATCGCAGAGCTGGTATATCACATGTCTGCATGGTGAACGTAAGTGACAGGCCCTCGCATGATAATCATGACATGGCTCATGTAAGAACATTACTAAATGCCACGCTCATGCGCTCGCGGTCGTTTCGCTAGCTTTACATATACCAAATTTGGTATTACGTGACATGAATGGAGGACGAATGTATGTGAGTGGTGCAAACATGATAATCCTGACATGCGTGTCATGTAAGCACATGGCTACATATGCCAAGCTCATGATGCACTCGTGGCCGTTTCGCTAGCTTCACAAATATGGTATTACGTGATGCGAACGGACAATGAAGGTAAATGACAGGTCCAAACATGATAATCATGATATGCGTGTCATGTAAAACATGACTACACGCTTCGCTCATAGTGCTCTTGCAGCCATTTCGCTAGCTTCACATTTACCAAATTTGGTACGTGACGTGAGTGGATAACGAAGGTATATGACTGGGGCTAACGTGATGATCATGATATGCGTGTCATGTAAGAACATGACCACATGCCACGCTCGTGATGCGCTCGTGATGCGCTCGTGGTCGTTTCACCAACTTCTCATATACGAAGTATGGTATCACGTGACGTGAATGGACGACGAGCACAAACGCCAGGCGATAGCATCGTAATCATGACATGAAAGTCATCTAATTTACGTCCGCCTCGTAACGTTGTGGTGATTTTAATGCAACGATGCTCATCGTGCTTCGCATATCATCGATTTCACACTGTACGTGGGATCAACCAATTTTCTTTGTGGAGAACTATCGTTATAGTACCTAGAAACTATGGTGACTGTGAATATACTGTAGCACAAAAAAACATACAAAAATACACTGCGGGAAAAACTGGAAGCACATTGCAGCAAAAAAAAAAGAAAAGAAAGAAGCGTGAGGCCAAATGTTTTGCGTCAGTGCCCTTTTAGGCGAAAAAGTCATTAATTCGCCCTCGACAGATGTGCATATTTCTACACAATGTTAAATCTGTTAGTGACTTGGATAAATGCAGTCAAAAGTACACATAGAGGCAAGTAATTCGCTAGGATGATGTTCTTGTGGAAATTTAAGCAATTACCGTTTTGTTTTTTCAGGGCTGTAATTCCGCCAGAGGCACTCGACTTCGCAACGAATTAACAATGGGTGAATCATTGCTTTTGATTTTGATGACGAGCCAACAGTATATGTGAGTTCAACGCTCGCAAACAATTGCGTGCATAATCTGCCACAAATGTATACCATTGAACTTTGTCCGCGCAAGACACTCATGATCTGCCCCTATTGCCGCACGAGGTGATTTGTATAGTTCACTTATGACGCCACAGCACGTTTTGCTAACGAAAAATATCGGTAACGCAGTGTACTTGTACACCTGGCGAAAAATATAGGGTGAAATGCAGGCTGAGCAAGATGCAGAGGTGTTCACATCGGGCCGAGTTGGTACTGAGGCACATTTAAATACCGTTAAATACCATATATATTGTCCGTATTTTTGACAACAATACCAATTGATTCTGAAATATAGCACGTGCAAACATAGACACAACAACAAAGTCATGTTTTGACTTTGTGTGCGTGTTTGCACGGCCTTACTTAAAGAATGAATACTTAATTAGCCCCTACTTAAGATCTATGCTATTTAGGTGTAATTTACCACTCATTAAATTATGTATTGCAATAGCAGCGATGCTCTGCATGCGCAACTAGACACTGTATAAGATCTTCATCTACATCCGTTTGTCAGTGAATACCCAGCTTTTGATAATGATAACAGACAGCCATCGTTCCAACTCTCCGTGGGTTTATTGTTCACCTAACGCACCGCGCAGCTGCACGATTTTACAACACAGAGAGTGCACGCTGCATGCGCGCCAGCCGCGAGCATGTGTCCTCACACTGCAAAGGTCACGTCCTGCCAGAATGCTTCAGCGCATGTTGCGGAAAGCTCAGGTGCAGCCTCGTCTCGCATTAAGCGTACACTCGCACTGTCTTATTTTTATGAAGGGGATATCCTGTTTTCAACAACCCTCTTCGCTCGACATGTGCTACGTGGTTTGGTCGTGAACGTGTACACATGTGTTCGCATTGTTTGTCAGAGACATATTTTAGAGCCATATTTCAGAGCCATATTTTGTCAGAGCCATATTGCGCATCGTAGGAGATGGCATAACACCGCAGTTACAGGCTGAAGGCCAAGGTGCGTGTCAACCATGCTGGCATCGGCACCCAAGGCGCAGCCTAGCACACCCAGAGCACAAGGCATGGGTAACTGGTTCCACACAGCCGTTTGGGATAGTTGGTAGCGGTTCATTCCAGCCCCACCGCGGTGGTCTATTGGCAAAGGTACTCGGCTGCTGACCCGCAGGTCGCGGGATCGAATCCCGGCTGCAGCGGCTGCATTTCCGATAGAGGCGGAAAGGTTGTAGGCCCGTGTGCTCAGATTTGGTTGCACGTTAAAGAACCCCAGGTGGTCGAAATTTCCGGAGCCCTCCACTACGGTGTCTTTCATAATCATATGGTGGTTTTGGAACGTTAAACCCCAGATATCAATCAGTGGTTCGTTATAAATACAAAAAATCAGATCATATCCACGTAGTGCATGGTGATGAGTGGGGCGAAGCGTCTGTCAGTCCGTTAGCGCTTCCGTCCATCCGTGTGTCCGTCTTTGCGACCGTCCATGCATTAATCCGTCCGTCTGTGCGTTCGTCCGTCCGCGCATCCATCCATACGTCCATCCGTGGGTGCGTCCGCCCGTGCGTCTGTCTATCCGTCCATCCATCTAGTCAACACCCCAGTACCGCAATTCTTAGGTTTTCATCATATATTCATCACGTAGAAGTACCGCCATCCAGCGGACATTTCAAGGACTAAACGAGAGGTGGCACGACTGGACTAGAGGAGCGGCACGCCTGCACTCTCTTAGGGTCTGCGCTTGGGGTCTAGTTCGGACCTTTCACCGCCGCCGGTTCATGGCACTGCGGCCCAACCCTCGCCAAACCTTGCTAAAATTAAGGGAGTTACGCCCAGCAATTTTAACGTGGCAACATTTTCTGGTCGGATAGTGCTCTAAGTGCGTCCTTCTGTTGCTAGTTTTTTTTAGCGAGATTCAAATTCAAGCAAATTTTATTGGAGATTAAGTCACCGATACACGTCTCTGTAGGTTATTTCATCAGAACTATCTTTTCATTTATGATTAACGTGCTCGGGTTTCCACCTCAATTCAAAAGAGTGCGCGCGTGCCACTCCTCTAGTCCGGACGTCGAGGTGGCTACATACTACTACGACGACAACTGCCACCACTCTATACATCGCGGACGCACGACCCATGGCTTAAAGAGCTTCGCCCCCAAAAGTTGGGTGCAGCGCAGAACAGCGACAAGAACTGTCGTTCTCTTCTCATGCCCCTGTTCAGGATCGCGTCCTACTTCTCGTATTTAGAATTGGTAACTAAGCGAGACGTATTCGTGCTCTTTGTGATTTAGCACTACTGCTGATGACATACGCAGACAGGTTGCCATTGAGATCGTCATGGAGGCAATGCCTGATTTCTTACATCGCGTCGTCGTCGTATTTCTGCCGAACGCTGCCTATTTCGTTTGGTGTATTTTGTGTGAATTTACGCTCTATCCGAGAATCATCGCTCTCCTGCGGGCAGCGATGGATCCAGGCCCCACCATACGCAATCCGGACTTGGCGTCACCTTCGACGTCAACGTCAAGGAAGTGCAACAGCCGGGAGGACGACAGCACCAGTGACAGCACTGAACTGTACACGGCGAGTAGTGAAGACAGCGACGATGATTTCATTCCTGCAGTGAAGCGTAAAGCTAAAAGGAGAACGGTCGGCGCGTCTTCGCCAGCTATCTCTACCGTAAAGGCGGCGTGCAGTTCTGAACGCCATACCATACTTTTTGTTCCTGTCGACTCTTCGATCAACCTGAAGAACATGAACAGGCAAGTGATATCAGCGCGTCTCGAAGCTATCGTGCCTAATGAGATAAAGGATATTAGACTCAACCCACGGAAGAATATCTTGGCCATAGACGTTGAGCACCCGGCTGCGCTACATACCCTGCGAACTGTCACGGAGCTTGGAG